GCAATTAGCGCTATCTGTACTTTGTCGAACGCTTTTCCAAAGAGACTTATCGTAGTCTCACCATACCACTGTCGCAGAGTCCTTAGCCACGATATTCTTCGACACCCATTGTCTTCTCTTCTGCCTTCGATCTTTCTATCTGTTATTAATTTGAGACCGTATTTTTTGTTTCTGAGAATGTGTCAAAAATACTCCAACTCGTTTGGTTTTTTAAGTGTGAGCATGACTTCGAGATCTTTTGACATTCTCGCGAGCACATCCACATTGCGCACTCTGTCCATCCAGGAATCTTCAACATCCGTCGATTCGAAAACATCCAGTTTTTTACACATGGCCTCTGTTATAGCCCACGCCTCAATTCCATAATAGAGAATACTGAAAAATTTAAAAAGGAACACATTTTTGTTTTGGAACCTATTACTAAGGTGAAACTGGAACGTTGGAACCTGGTTATAGAAAAATAACCGTTTATCACACCTCTACTGCATCCAAAGTATTTATTTGCATGACCGAACACGTTCGAGTTGATGGCTCTGCTCCTGCAGAATTCCTCCCCCAACCTGATTCTTAGCAGTGACCATCCATTGGGTTTTTTTATGTATAAATGTAAGTCAAGTTCTGCGCTATTAGCCGCTACATGGTCAAGCAAAGTCTGAAGACCGCCCAACGAGTCCGCGATTGCAACGGTGTCGTCAGCGTACCTAAAGTTATATATGCTTACGCCATTAATGGAAATTCCTTCAAGGTAGTTTTCCAGGGCACCTTTAAATATTTTGTTTGAGTAAATGTTAAAAAGTAATGGTAAAAGGATGCAACCCGGTCGGACACTCCTTTTGATTCGAACTTTGCCCGACATCCGTTGACCTTCCTTATTTAGTGCAGTTTGGTTCCAGTAAAAAGTTGCAATTATTTTCAGGTCTCTATCGTCCAGAGGCCCACGTCTTTAAGAAGTTTTATAAGTTTTTTGTTGCACTCTGGCAAAAGCCTTTTCGTAGTCTTTGAAGAAGCCATAAACAGGAACAGACATCCCTGCACCTCTAATGGACCTGCAGCTTTTCTGTTTTTTCACAACGATATTGCATTTTGGACTTTTTCCTTAGTTATATCTTGCCCTTGGGTTATATTGTTCAGGAGTGTCCGATCTTTCATCTTGAAAAAGGTCGTTGATATAGCTTTAGATTAGATTTTTTGGTCACGGAACTTTTAAACATCTAAATTTTTAATGGTTCCCTAAACACTAACTAAACTAAATGCAAAACGAGTTATATGTGTATTTTTTATAAAGAATCATACCAGAAAAAGGTATTTTGGAATTCAATTTAAAAAAGTTTTTTGGGATAAAGATTTAACGGGAAGCATAAAATTGTTTTCTATTTCTCATCAACTGGGTAATGTCAGGCTTGATAGACGAAAGTTGGATTCTGATGCCTGGTTCGGCATCTAGTCTATTGCGATATTTTGTTTTTGTAGCTGTATATACTGAAAATTCCGTTTCTCACAAGTACGTTGTTGGGAACGGCAGACAAACATTCAAAGCCTCTGTGGCAAGTTGTGGATATCCATCCCGAACCCTGCGCCAAAAATCATTCAGCAAAGTTGTTCTGAACAATGATTATATGCTTGTGTCCAAGGCCATTTCTAAAAGTGATTCAAAGATCCCATTTGATATACAATGTTATCCATTTTATGCATGGGAAAGTAAAGTAAAAAAAAACACACACAATATTTAGATGGAGACGAAAATGTTAATTCAATATAAAGATTAAACCATACGTGAAAAACAATATCATTCAAATGTCTGCCACGGGACCTCCTAGAGGCCGTTGGATGACTTTTCGGCACGATACCGGTAATATCTCGGTCATAACTTCACGGATATTGGCTTTCAGTTGCTCAAGAATTTGAAGATTGTTGGGGTAAACACGATCTTTCGCATGGCCCCACAAAAAGAAATCTAACGGTGTTAAGTCGCAGGATTTTGCGGGCCAATTTACATCACTCAATCTCCAGATTACGCCTCCTGGAAATTTCTCTTGCAATAGGGCTCTAACTGCCAGTGTTGTGTGACTCGTTGTCCCATCCTGCTGGAACCACATGTCTTCCAGATTATAATCTTCAATTTATCTCCAAAAATAATCGGTTAACATGCGCCCATAGCGCTCAGAATCGACTGTTATGGCTCTTCCTTAATCGTTTTTAAAAAAATACGGGCCAATAACACCACTGGATGATAATGCTCACCATACGGTCACTTTTTCAGGATGCAAAGGCCCTTCTGCGACTTATGCGACTACTTGAGGGATTTTGAGAGCCCCATCTACGGCTATTCTGTTCATTCACGTAACCACCGAGCGAAAAATGAGCCTCATCGCTGAAGAAAATCCGGTTTGAAAAATTATCATCAACGGCTTGTTGTTCAATCACCCAATTTGCGTATGTTCTGCGTTGCCTATTGTCTTGAGGCTTAAGTTCTTGAGTCAGTTGGACTTTGTACGGATGGAGCTTCAAACCCAATTGCAAAATTCGCCACAATGAGCCGTAAGACAGGCCCAAATGTTGAGCACGTCGGGGAATTGACGAATTCGGGTGTTCCTCCACACTTTGAGCAACAACAGCGATATTTTCAGCTGAACGAATGTTGCGATGATGCAGAGGCCTTACAATATCAGTAACCGATCCAGTCTCTTCAAATTTTTCCACTGTGTTCGAAATTGTTTGCTCTGTGGGTTGATTATGCCGACCCACTCGTAAAGCCCTAAATGTCGATACAGCGGAATCACCATTTTTATAGTACTTAACATTTAATAATTTTTACGCGTTCTTCGACGGTTAAACTATCCATATTTCAAAATGACAAACCTTCAACTAAAACAAAAACGGTTGGGATGACGTTTACCTTTGACAGATACCAAATAGCAAGGTTTTACTTTCCCAACCTCGAATTAGATAACCCGTTAGATTCCTCTTTAATACATGGATTTATTTTATTGTCGGCGGAGTCCTACCGTAGGCTTTGCGGAGCACAAGTTGAGTAACGCTGATATAGCTTTACCACTGTTCTACTTTGTAGTTGACGTCAAGAATTATTTTATCTCTAATGTCCAAGAGGATGACAGCTTGACGAGGCTTGTATGCACCGACAGCCTCCTTAATTTTCTTGTGCATGTTAAAAGTGTCATATTTAGCCTCCAGATCTTCGATTTCGCGACCTTGCTCGTTAAGCCAGTTCTCTTTGGCCATTCTAGTTTTGTTCTTTATTTCACCATTCATCTGGCGGTATTCAGAATGACCTATTTTTTCAAGCGTCTCTCCATTAAATAAATAATGTCACCAGTTCAGAATCCAAGCGTTCTTTTTGATTTTTGTATTGTTTGAAGATAATTTCGAGCGTGCGTTTTGCCTAAGCCTCCTTGATGTTGGTCCAAATATCAACGTCTCGGAATTCTCCCCGACGTCCACAATTTAGTTCGTTCCTGGCATCAGCTAGCGTTTCTGGGTTGTTCAGTCTGTTATGTCTGTATCTGTATCGGTTATTTATCAATAGAAAGTCTATTTGGTATCTGACTATCCTTCCTGGTGTATGGGTGTTGGAGAACAAACCCCCAAAAAAATTATTAAAATCCATATAACCATAATAATGGTGATTTCTGACCTTTTAGTGATATTTACGACGGTTTGGAGTGGTTCGTAGAAACTTTCGACAACTACTGCTAGCTCTCTATGTAGCTACTATGCTACTCTACGATCAGAATCCGAGACAAAATATTGTGATTTATAGTAGATAAGATGATATGATAAGCCGGCATAGTAGATAAGATGATCGTCGATCCGACATTCTCCAGACTTTGGCCATCTCATTTTTCGATATTCATTCTTTTCATTTCCTTGATGGCGATGTGGGTTTTACCAGATTGAAACACACTTCGTGCGTTCCAAGTAGCAAGCAATCTTCTTCATGACTGGCCCGGAGATTTTAGCACAGCCTGATCATTTAAGCCCTGCCGAGGACTGAAGGCTTTTGGTTTTGGTTTGGTTGGTCATGCTAATGATTTTTCGTGGGGAGGGTGGTTTCCCGTTGCCTTCCTCATCGCAGTGTTAAAACCGTTGAGATAGTCCTTGTCCCTTAGCGGTTGCGTTGAATGTGATCTTTAGCAGTCGCATTTTCCAGTAATTATTCCAGATTAGAAATTATTTAAACTGCAGGCTTGCAACATTATCCATATATAGGGTGTCTCAAATCGTTGAAACTATTTTACATTTTTTCCTGCCTCATTCTAAGGCGTTTAATGGAAAATTGTTTAATTATAGAGTTTTTAATAAAAATGTAATTAGAGCGCCTTAATTAGTGTGGAAACTGCATTTAAATACCCATAAGGAAATAGGGGCTTATATCGAAACGTCCTGAGGGATTATTTTCATTTTCCGAACTGCAAAGTACGCAGTAACTCTGGCAGTAATGAGCTCATAAAGAAAGTTTAGCTGTTAAAGTTGCGTCACTGGAACTGCATGGTTAATTTACTTTCTTTACAGTCTTAATGGGATTTTTCTTCAAAAGGCTCTGTATGATGAATGGTGTTTTGATCTAAGCAAATTGCAAAACTTCTTTGTGACAAGCATTTTGAAAATTGACCGGGTCCAATGCCACGAAACAAGCAAAACACAAAAGAAATTAGCCGATAAAACCGCAACAAACATACAAATTTTGTCATGCAATGCTTCCACACTGGCACAATTAATTTTTTATTACCACTTTACATCCATAAGTTTTGAAACGATGGCAACATATTTCTCGACCACTGTATAGAACAATTTCTTAATTGAATTAAAGAAATATTACTCGCTTTTGTGTAACAATGTTTGACTTTAGTACACCAATGTTACTTATTACGACGCGTTGTAAAATTGTTTAAAACATCGGTGTTGTTGTTGTTCGTTTCGAATGAAACTCGGACGCTTTTGGTGAGCTACATGTTGCTGACATGACGCAGAGTAAGTGAGGTCAGAAGTTTGGTGCGCTTTTATAAAGACCTAAACAATCATATCGAGCTTTTTCGGGTGTAAATTGAAAATCGTGTGATGTTGAGCTCACAATAACGTACATTGTTTGCCAAACACGTTAAAAAAGCGCCAATTGACTGTAAATCATCTGATTGATCGCTGCCGTCTATTTAGGAAGGGGATTTTTGCTTGATCTTTTCTTTTATCTAACTTCCTTAGTCTGCTTTCAACATGGATAAATATCCGAAGACTCACAATTTCAGCTCTCCATTCAGTGCCCCTTTATTTATGAACTAAGTTTTGCTAAACGTAAGTACAAGTTGCAGAACAATTAATGGCACTTTCAAGTCTTTTAAAATAGAAGGAACTTTTCTAATAGAAAACATTTATTCTAGCAAGTGAAACAGAGGGATTTTCGCAACATGTTTAACACAATTAATAGATGTTTTTATTAGTGTGGATTTGATGACTATAATGTATGATGCAAGACGTTAGAAATTAACGCAAATAATCAACAGTGACTCAGTAAAATTAGTTACAACATTCTCATTTTATCAGTTTTTTTATGCAAATTTATCTATAAATATGGTTGGAAGAACGGATGATTTTCGGGTTATTAAACCACAAACTCATTACCACCCGAATGTCTGAGAAAGATTTAACAATCTTTCGATTCGATTTTTATTAAATGGAATTGATTTGCGCATTTTAGAACGTAGTCGGCATCGGTTATCTCACTCGCACACATACCAGTCAATGCGGTCTATGCGTTGCTACCTTCAAATTGCTCCCCTCGCGGCTTAAATTCTTTGAGTATTTTGTCGCTCAATTTTAATTATAAAAAGCTAAACTAAATATTTAGTTAGCAACAGTCTATTCAAATTTCCAACTAAAATTCTGTTGAAACCATCAAAAATTGATAATTTTCAGGTATTAGCAGGTCGTCGATAGAAATTTGATACTGACGTTTCGCTAGCCCGCATGTCTAGTATCTTCAGGGGCGCTTTAACGACGACGCCCTAATAACCCGAAAATCTAAAATTGTTCACAACATTGCTTCGAATATAGCATGCCGTTAAAATATCGGGTTTAGTTTATCTAAAGAAATAACGTTCACTAACTGTTTGATTTTCTGATCAAATCTATGACTTTGCGGCTTAAACCGCAATGTGGAAAACACCAATTTTTCGTTGGAAACTTGACGGTTTTCCAGGTAGTTTCAACTTGTAAAATGTCCTCTTGCTACCGGTCGTCATTTTCCAGGAGAATTACTTCTCTTTTGTGTCGTTCGTGTCTTCTTTGCTCCACTGATTCGCTAAAGCTTTGATGCCCACACGATAAAGATACAAAATATTGTCAGCCCGCCTCATGGAAACAATGATGGCACGTTTTAATCGTAAATTCAAATTTTAAGTCTACACAACATGAGATGCCATCGACTTTAACAAACACATTTTTTGTCTTCAGCAAAAACCAAATATTATGGATAAGTGGGATTAATACGCAATCAATGTGGAACGCGAGTTCAATGAGATGTATTGAAAAAAACCGGTTATTACGGAAATAGTACCCCGATAAAGAAAACTTTCCAAGCTGGATTTATTTCAGATTCGCTAATTAGTAGACTTTATCTAAAAAAGTTAATTATAAAATAGTCCAAATCATCGGAGACTGGCACTTGTTTTTATTATTCTTTTTTAAGTTCCGCGCAATCGAAACCCGACTGACCATTGCTGACCTCGTCGATATTTTAAGCAATATATCGGCTATAAATGTTTTCAAGTGGAAAAAACCTTCACTAAAATTATAACTGAGTAAGGCTGAATAGATCACAGTAGGCATTGACTTTGTGACATTGGCAAATGACCACAAAACGTCAATAAACACATGACAAGTGTCTGAAAACTTACATGAAGCGGTTGTTATATTGACAACTGCTCGCGGAACTCAGTTGCGACGCTTGACAGCTGTTGGTTTACTTTGCTAATGACGTTATAGACATATGAATCTATCCAGGACCTACTTTGATATGTTGACGCTTTTATTAAAGCGAGGCAAGACTGTAGTCAAGAGCGGACGTAGTTCCAATTCCAAGCTTACGAAAACTGTTTTTTATTTTCCACGCAACCTAATTCTCTTCCACTAATTCAAAAATTTGATGGAAACGACACATTTTGATTCATGGTACTTGACTTCGATACTAATCAAATACCCCAAAAACAAATATTTCCATTATAATTCAGTTTGGCTGGTAAAATATTTCGTAATTTGTTGAGAGGAACGGCTGAAAAGCGATGGAAGAAATGAATGGACTTAATCAAGCGAAAAATGTTGCGCTAAATTGTATTATGTTGAATAAGACTTAATGGAATTGCCAAGAGCAAAGAGCTGCCATCTAGTAAATTTTCAAGGAACGTTGAAATGAAATGGCCTCTGCACGGTAATTGGGGCTGCTTACGAAAACACCTAATGAATAATATAAAGGAAAGTTGAGCTAGACGGTAGACAAACATGCTTTATTAAATTAGCATGGAAATGAATTGTGAGTTTGCACTTGGCGAAAATAAATAACTTCAGTTTCGCTCAAAAACTTCATAGGTTTTAATATTTCTCAACTGAGTAGCTTGTTTCAGGCCCAAAAGATGCGCGCACCCATTTACCTAGTCTGCGCAGCATTAGTTGTCGCAGTGCGCAGCGAACCCAACGAGAACTATATGGGCTTGGAATCAGTGAACGTGGCTGCCGATCCAGAAACGATAAACTACCTTCTACCCAAGTTAGCTGCCAAGTACAGATTGAACAGCGACTGGAGGGGGGTTTCCGACCCCAAATTCTACGTTTTGACCGAAATGGAATCGAACGACATCGAAAACCAAGTAAGTGATGACTTTACGAAAAACTTTAAAGCTAATCAATTAGAAAAGTCGCTTCCTTTATCGGTCTGATAAATCACAAGTATTTCAAAACCAACAAAAGACATTTTATTAGTTTATTGATGTATGCTGTGAAGTGCCGCAAACTTTGTGACTTCGAGTGTGTGATTTATTTAAGCAAATTCGGGGTTCGCGGTTTCTTCACTTGGTACCTAACCATCGCTAACCAGTAAGTGAGTTGTCTTTAGTTCTCGTTGTGTATTTAGAAATTCGATTTTTCCTGTAGAACCTCGATTGTTAGCATGGCATGAAACACCTACACCAGTAGACTAATAAAATACAAGCAAACCTTTAAGTAATGTGTTATTTTGTAACAGTTTAAGTCATTTTCTATTTTAGTTACACACCGTTTTTGCAAAAAACCAAGTAGCTCACGCTGTAGATTATGCATTTCCAAACACTCTTTTTTGGGAAGTTTAGTGTTTTGTGTGGAATAAAGCCCTACGGAGGCCAAAGACTTTCCATTCGCTTTAATATTTCGTTCAACACTTGCATGCAACTTAACTCACAACTTTGATCGCACCTTGGCCATTCAATCAGCAAACGCAAATCTATTTTCTGTTTTCAGACCCCGGAACAACCGAGACGAATAAGAAACAAACGATACAACAACTACTCACCCACTCTGTCCGTACAAGCGCCGATTCAAGCCCTTCGAAACATGTACGATCGCAGCAATTACCAGCAAAGAATCTCGCAAAATCGACGACTCATCAATCAGCTAAACTCTTCCTAAACCATTTAGTTCCCCTTTAAATCAATTAATCCAAATAACCGGGTCTCGAAGCCATTGGATGCGGTTGCATTTGTAGTCGACTGTAATAGTTAGTAAATTATATTGTTAGTTCCATGCCAGTGATAAAAGTATAGTATTATTAAGATGTATCATGTATCTAAATGTTTGGAAATCTAGTCATTATTCTTCCGAAACGCGCGCTCCTGATCCAGCAGTATCTTAACTCAGTATTCCGAATGCGAAGCGTAATTTAGACATTATTTATTGTAGTTGAGCAGTTTACATGTTATTTAGGCCAATGTGTTTATATGGATTTTGTTATTCGATGGGTGACCTGTGCAGTATAAAATAAATGTCTAGACACAGCTTAAATGTAGGTTTTTCATTTTAATTCACTTGTTGCTCTACTTTCTCATAATAAAACCCTGATCTGTTATTACAGGGGCCAACTGCTGAGGAAGATTTAAACTTGAGAACTAAAAGACAGTCCAGAATTGGCCGAAACGCTGGCGGTTCACTGTCCATCGTGAATTCTCTGGACGTTTTACGGAATAGACTGCTGTTGGAAATTGCCAGAAAAAAGGCCAAGGAAGGTGCGAATCGCAACCGACAGCTGCTGATGAATTTCGGAAAGCGAGCTTTCATCCAGAGAATCCCGCGGGCTTATTTCCAACGCCAGATATAATTTTACAGCAATAATTCGCAAGAAACCACAAATTGTCCAACAATTGTACTGTTCTTCCTTTCTCTCTGTTTGTTGTTGAATTATTTTAGAATTCCCACTAGTAGGCAAAACAGAAAATGTAGTGCGACAATGATTTGCTACGTGTTGACCCATCAAGTTACTGTTTTCTTTTCTCTAGTCTAATTCCTTACTGTTTAAGTAAAATATATTGAAATAAGTGTGCACTGTCCTTTGAATGCCTCAATTCTCTACTTTTCCTTTAAGAGTAAGAAATGAAAGTCAACGATCGAAGAAACAATAATTTTTTCCGTATTCAGAGCATATAAGAGTTATAACAGTTAATTGTACTATATTATTAAAAAGTTGTACAGAACAGAATTATGGTTATTACTATTACTATCAATAGAAATAAACAAGAAAATATGAGCATCAATTTGTTTAATTTAATTTGTCTCCTACTTGTCCCCCAAGTTTACTACGTTCAAAAGAGATGGCGCAGTCAGTTTTATCACACGCAGGAAATCACCGGCCGACGTGAGGCGTTGAGCGCGACGTTGCAACAACCACTGACTGCCTTTAATTCTCAGATTTTAACGGCAATAAATGCGGGGATGTGGGATAATTTTCGGATTAATGATGATTTCAACTTTCGGATTAATGATGATCGATCGGATTAAAGTTTGGCATTTATTTTCTCAGAGACCACTGAAGCTGTAGATTTACTTTTGAGTGCGTTGTGTAGGACAAATTAGGTTCCATATGTGGACCAAGTTTAGATTTGGAGTCATTTAGAATCATGATTCGGGTATTTTTTTGAAAGTTCAAATTTTTTTGAATGTGCTTTTGATTTTTTTCTTAATGTGCTTTTTGATTCAGAATTTTCTATCTTTCGAAAACAAGCAAATTAGAAAGAAAATGTGTAGCATTTTGAGAAAATAACTACTATACCAATTTTGGTAGAATGGATAAAAAAGGTAAAAAAACACTTTTAACAAATCAAAAAGTTAATCGAAATACTCACTATTCAAGTAACTTAAGCGTCAAGCGGTAAATAGAAATAAACAGAGCCAAATTTCCAACCGAACTCCGGGCTTATACGGGGTGGTCACTCTTACATTGGGATCTCCTAAACGCAACGAGATACATACATCAACAGAGTTGATTAAATGGCGAAAAAGTTGAGCAGTTTAATGGTTATTTTAAAGCCATACTGAAATTAAACCTAGATGTCACGGTTTGCGAAATATCCTGAAAAAACTGAAAACGTGTATATTTTTAAAAAATATTCTCAGGAAAAAAACTATTAATCCGATTTTGATGAAACTTGGGCTACTTACATTTTTAATAAATGCCCTTTTCATGGTAGTGTCAGATTTTTTTTATTGGTGTTTAGTATTGCAAAATAACAGTCCACTTTGATTTTTCTTATGGACTTTTCTTATTGACTTTTTATCGTACTAAATAGAAAAAAATATTCGTTCATATACAGGGTACTGTATACAGGGTGTCTCATTTAAAATATCAACGTTGGATGTACTTTTCAATACACGCGGCAACAACGCGTTGATAAAAATATTTTAGTATCATATCCAATTATTTCGTTGCACAAATTTCCAGAAATTTTGTTCATCGCGTTCTGTACTAATCTAGATGCCATCAACCGTGTATATATCCAGTTCGACAGCCACAAGAAGCTCCTAACTTTCAAGACTTTTATTAAACAACTGATTCCGCAGTTCTCTTTTATTAACTTTCCCTAGGGCGTTTTTGGGAATATTCTCCACTACTTTCCACACCGTTGGCACCCAATACTTTGGCATTTTTCCTCCGCACCACTCCTTTAAGGCTGCTAAACTCTCAGGAGGTTCTTTATTGAAAACTAGCACAGCAGCTACTCGTTCCCCATAAGTTTGATCTGGAACACCAAGAACCGTACACTCTTTTATACCCGGATGGGCCAGAAGTAGGGTTTCGATTTGCAAGGCACTGATTTTATAGCCGCCTGATTTAATAATATCCGCGCTCTTTCTCCCTAGCATTTTAAAGTTACGCTTTTCTATAGAATACTGAGCAATGTCCCCCGTAATGAACCAGCCCTGCTCCGTAAATTCCTTTAGAGTTTCCTGCGGTTTATTGAAGTATTCCCGAAAAACACTCTCTCCTTTTACGAGGAGTTCTCCAGTTGGATCTTGATCTTGATCTTGAGCTGTGTTTTCAACAAGGAACTTTCCAGATTGATTTGCACATTTGAAGACGATTTCCTTGGTGTCTGGATCAGCTAAGGCAACGGACACTGAGGGTAAAGGCATTCCTACAAATCCAGGCTCTCGATCTGAGTCGTAATCGTTTGTTAAAGCCATCCCGATTTCAGTCATCCCATAGCGCTCTAGTAGCTTGTATCCAGATATTGCCAACCATCGTTCAAAAACTGGCTCTGGTAAGGGAGCAGATCCACTCACCATAAGCCTCATGTGGCTGCTCAGAAACTCCTTCACTAGCTCAGAGCTGGAAGACAGATTCAAATCAAACTCCTCGATGAGTTTGGAGAATATGGTGGGCACAGCCATAAAAACGGAAACTTTGCCTTCAACCTCCTGCTTTCTGTTTAGCAGGTAGGACCAAGCGAGGGCGGCGTTAAACTTCGGGAGCATGATAATGGAGGCTCCAACAAATAAAGGGCAAAATAGGGCATAAAGTGTCCCATGGACGTGATGAAGCGGCAACGTGTGCAAAATCATATCGCTTGCTGACCATTTCCATGCTTCAATGTGCATTTTCAGCTGCACATTGATATTCCTGTGCGTTAAAACCACTCCTGAAATTTTCACTTTCAAACATTTGCCAACAACAAACACTTGAGTGAACCTTTGGGATTGCCAGTAGTGCCGCTTGTGTACAGAATTAAAGCGTCACTGCTTTGATAGAATTCTTTAGATAGGGGATCAGGATTGGGATCAACGGACTTGTGAGTCTTCGCTCTGAGCAGCAGATCTTCTTCTAGCAGATGCTGTTGAATGCCAGATTTCCTGGATAGAGAATGGAGAGTTTTGGCAAACTCCAGAGAAGAAACCATTAACCTGCTATTGGCATCCTTGATGTAATACTCGAGCAATTGCTCTGGATGTAAAGGGCTTAGAGGCACAGCTGAAAAAAGCCAGCTGGATGCATTTGTGGGGGAACTGGATTTATTACATACCGATTTGCCCCGCCATCCAAATGGCCCATATGGTAATCACGTAGCTGGCATCATTGGGGCACAGAAACAACACTCTTTCTCCAGTGCTTCCACCCAATAAAATAGACAGTTTTGAAGACAACATCTGAGCCTCAATGAACAAGTTCCGGAAACTGTAGCTTCCAGTCTGGTCATAAATGGCAACTTTATTGCCATATTGTGGCGCATTGTAACAAACTGGAAGCACCAGCGGATCAGGGAATTGGCAGAATGATTTGCGCAAGAATAATCTGCTGGCTAATTTGTGAATTATTAATTTTGCAGGGTGAAAAATGGTTGTCAACATCATGTGGTTTAGAGGTTGAACGGGTTGGTGGTTGTCTGGTTTTGCTATTTTTCTGATGCCGTTTATTGATGTTTGTGCAAAAACTACGACATTTTGGTGAATGAAAAAGTATAGTAACAAATGAGAACGAATGTTTAAATTGACAGCGTCTAAATTCTTTTTTATCTATGTGTAGAAAGTAACCAAACTTGATTTATTGAAATTTTTTTCTTAAACTTATCTGCGTTTTCCCGGAGTTATGGACTTACAGCTAAAGCGCTGAACTTGATAAAAATGCTCTAAAACTTTGAACATTGCCGGGTTACAGTCTGCTCTAGTTCTGGCGTTATTGACTTGAAATTTCTGCAGTAAACAACATACATTTTTCGAAAGCTTGGAAAGTTTTGTCTAAAAAGCAGAGCAGACTAATCAACACTATTTTCGATTTTTCAGTTGTCGAGACAAATACGTTTTAAATTAAATCGCACTTGAAGCTTCCAAAGAATTATTTTAAATCAAGAATTATACTTTTAACCCTTTTGCTTCTTTTATGCCACGTTCCACACGGTTAATGGATCAAGTCCGTAGACACATTGTCTTAATTATACACTTCGCTGTCCAAATAGTCCTGAAACTCTTGAGGAGCACTCCACCAAACACTCAAAATACACAACTTAATTTCACTACAGACTCAATATTTCTTGCCACATGACAGCAGACGTCAGAAATTCCCAATTTAAAAAATCATGTTTGCTGCTAAATCCCCGTTGTTGGTCGGAAAAATACCACAAAATGGCAAAGGAAAACTTCCTCATTTGGAAAATCAACAGTTTTGAACACAAGGTTCGAAAATTGTCGCGATTTTATGAAACTTAGTCGGACGGAACTTTGAACAATTGTTCAGCAAAAAATCATACACTGCTACAAGCAAATGACATGGATTTGACATTGTACAGAAAATTGTCTTAAAAATTTATCTGCTTACAGTAGCCTGTTTTTATTCAGTAAATAATAATGTGTTTATTTATTTAATTAATTAATTTCAACACACAAGCTTTAATATACGTATTGCTTTCTATTAATAAACACTTAGGCTACCGTAATTAATTAAGCCTTACTTAAGATTGGTCTTCCATGAAAGGTAAGTGTTCCAAACCACAGCAACACTTTGCGCAAGTAAAACCTGATAATTTAAAGGAACGCAATAAAAATTAAACAGCTGAACTGCAGGCCACAGTTTGTAATTCGCCACCATAATATCGAGATAGTTTGAAGACACATCCTCCTTGGCTTCACTCAATGAACGGCCATTGATTAAATTCAGATTAGTTAGGAATAGTATGAGGAAACTCGGTGCGAAAACCAGTTGGTCTAGAGCGACTTTTTTCAGAGTGACGGCTGTGGACATTTCAGTGCCGATTTTTCGAGCCAGCACTTTGTACCACAAGCTTAACGTGGGCCCCTGAAACAATAAAAAATATTTTACCAACATAGCTTCAGTGTCGTCATCGAAAACCGAACCAATCAACAGGAAGTAGTGGATTGCGGATTCGAAGTGTCAATCGATTCACCTAACCTAGAAGCTTTGTAAACACGTAAACACAAGGAAAGCTTTATTACGCTAAACAAAAGTCCTAACAGGGCAGTAGCACGTACCACAAAGACGGTCCCTAGAAGAGTAAACTTGGCCGTTCGCTTAGGTTCGTATGTAGCTCCCCTTTTACCTTCTATAATGGTTTGGGCGATTATATCACCTGTGCCCATCAAAAGGCCAGTTTGGGCAGACTGCACAACCATAAAGTGGTCTTTCAGTAGCTTTTGATACACCCTGCGTAACGACATTATTTTCAGACAATTTACTGTTGATCGCTCAATAGTGGGCAGTTTTCCTCTGATAACCCAGGCAGCCAGAAGCACATGTTCTAAAAGCGTGTACGATAAGTCACACTAACATGATCTTTGTCTGATTTATGCGAGTTGAAGGCAGACGGCGACAGGAACGTAGAACGAACAGTACTCGATCGATCCAGAACATTCAGGATATGCAATTAATAGTTTTTGGTAATTAGTAGATGAATAGAATGAGGAAATTCTGGAAATTGGCTCAGTTAATCCTGCGGAACAGGGGTTCAAACACCGGCTTCGTAAGGAGGTTTTCCAGTCTTGCAAGCAAAATTTCCCCAAATTGGAACAGTGGAAAATTCAAGTACCTCCACATATGCCTTATCGGTTCCATAATACCTCAAGGAAAAATTAACTTGGAAGACGATCTTCGGCAGGCGATAGAAGACGGCGAACAAGCGATAGTTCAGCTGATGAACGAACTGCAAGACTTAGTGACTTCAGTCTCCAAAGAATACAGATCTTCACTGAGCCAGCAAATAGAGCTGATCCAAATCACTGGGGATGAAGCTTCGCATGAGCTCCTTCAGTTCAGAGCAGTAGCTGACGAGCTCAACAATGAACTGAATGAGTATGCGATCTTGCTCAAAGCCATTGGCGATATTGCTTACGATCAAACGATGATCAGTCTGATGGTGGACGCAAACGCTTTGGCGGTGATTTTGAAGAAATACAAGGAGTTGGAAATTGTTTTACTCCGGGAATTCGAGGCCAACAAACAGATGGAGTTGCAGCTGCTGCAAGTGAACATTGCCAGGATTGGCGCCAGAAAATGATTATTATCTGGCTGAACAGATGAAAATAAACTTCTTTATTTATGAGTTCTTTAATTCATTAAAATCTTCAATTAAAACACTTTTAAATAATTACGTTGCTTTTAGATTCTTTCAGCGATGAGTTGCCAGAAAGGAAACACCGTAAGATCCAGACCTCAGAAATACAAGAACAAAACCGCCTTTAAAAATAATCTTCATGACACGAGCCAGAGAACGAAAACGATCAACTCTATTTCAGTGGGAAACGTTTGCCAGAGATGCAAAGATATAATCGAATGGAAAATCAAGTACAAGAAGTACAAGCCTCTGAGCCAGCTTAAGACCTGCGTCAAGTGCGGCCAAAAGGCCATTTCCAAGGCTTATCACACTATATGCGATACTTGTAGGAAGAATTTAGGCAAGTATTCTGATTAATTGATATTGGTTTAATGAAGAGTCGCTTGGAGTAAACTATAAATGTATTTAATATACGAATATCGTTTCGGCTATTTATAATATATAACCATCATCAGGTAACAAGACCTAAAACTGCGTCAACGGAATTACAGGTGGAAAAAAGCCGGACATCGGTCACATTACAGAGGTTACAACACACTAAGTTTATGCTCAAATGAAGACTTAAGTCTTGTTATCTGATGATGGTTATATATTATAAATAACCGAAACGCGTTGTATATTAAATACATTTATAGTGGACTCCAAGCGACTTCATTCACCCTATATGTTTTCCGGCCACTACTTCGGATTCAAACAAAATCTAATTAGTTGAGATTGATGGCTTTTTTAGGAGTGTGCGCCAAATGCGGGGATCAAAAAGATGTAGTTGCACCGACAGCGACTGACTCAGAACAGGCACAGCTGGATGAAGAAATGAAGTCGTTGCTGAAATCTTTGCCGGAGCGGAAGCGCAGAACGTTCGTTAGATTTATGAATAAGAAAAATGATGAGGCCTCGCCCAGTAAGGAGGAACTGCTGAACAAGCTCGAAACCCTTAAGGTTGCAGACGATGAAGACGGGTTTACGGATGAAGAAAGTGATGACTCACTTGAGTGAAGCCTCGTTACTAATAAAACCATTCAATGTAAAATTGCTGGCTGTTTTTTCCTGTTTAATTAGTTAGCTTTAGCCATGAAGGAAGTGAAGATTCACTTGAGGGAAGCTCTGTTACTAAATAAACCCATTCAATTGAAAATTGGTGACTTTTCTCCAGTATAAGTAATTAGCTTTAGTTTCCAAGTTTTTGCAGCAAAAAACTAATATATGTAAGTATAAACACATCCCTCCAAAAAAATCGGGAACTGAAAAGTGATTGAAGGCAACAAATGAATAGTAACTGAAATAAAAATCCGAAACTCTGATCAGCAAGCACTATTTTTCAGAATCCCTAACCAACAATTGACATTGCCAATTTTATTATTTGTCAAAATATTTTAGATTTTTTAAAAAACGTATTTATTGCTACAAAAGATCTGCAACATAAAAAGTCCGAATTATCAGAGTGAACGGTGGTACTGTGACACAAAGCTTGTAAGATTGTAACCTAATTTCCACAAAGTCAGCTATGTAAATAAGCTTAAATCTCTATTTACATTGAAACAAAAAAACTTTGTCTGATACAGAATTCATTCTTATGTAAATGAGTAAATAAGATAGATAATACGACGATGCGATTTATCGAAATTTAAAGCAGTTATTGCTGATTGTTCTTGGTTGATAAACTATTGTTGCTGTCGAGACCCTTGTTGGAGTGCTAAAAACTATGACGAACCGAGTCTGTCCTTTGCTGAAAAACCCCGAGCAATATACTCCGGATCTGCAGGATTTGGCGAGAAATGAGCTGGCTAGAAACTATTGGCTACCCACTCTGGAAAGGACTGTTGGCAATTTTGTTGAAAAGGCCCAATCCCTAAACCCGGACAACCCGAAAGCCACTGAACATGCCAAGCAATGTTTGCAGAAGTTCCACAACTTGATAGAGAAAATAAAATTGGAGCCCAGGTAAGTACTCGGATATTTCAAAGCTACATTGTATTAACAGAAACTATTACTGGTAGGACTTTAGTTCCACTTAGTGTGAGAACACTGCTGGAGTTCAATGAGGAAAATTTGAGGGTGCACTTTAAAGATGCCTGGCAGACTCAAAAAGACACAGAGTCGGAACAGGCTCTTTCGCAGTTTAGCCACAGAATTAGTGAAATTGATTCCATAAGTGATTTTCATGAAAAATGGGTGGAATTGGCCAAAGGACTCCTGGCTGGGAATGTGTTCGATTGGGGCTCGGCTGCAGTCGCCAATATTCTGGACTCATCTTCAATTTTTGGCTTATCACATGCAATGGAGACTATTGAAGCCAGGCCATGGTTCATTGATGATGTTGATGTCTTCATACAAAGATTATATGTAAGTGTTTTCTATGCTATTCCGATAAATCTTTCTCTGATAAGAAGTAATGTATGAAAGCAGACGTAGTTATGAAAATCGCCCAAAATAATCGAACTATTCACTTTTGTTTAATTTGTCTAAAAATGTAAGCTTCAGTGTAAATACAGTTCAGCGAATCCAGATAACAACAGTGCAAATATATTTACGCTGATAACTATATGAGCAGTGATCAAAGAAGTTTTATGAAAATATAATAAATGTAAATTAAGTATTTGCCACATTTGAACGCAAAACCCCAAATATTATTGCTGGAAATTGACGTAAATTTCCCACCAAACACGTTGCTTGATAAGGAAGCACACATTCCTTCAATTGTGTAATAAAATAGCAGCTTTATCTCAGGATGATAGCATCATTTTGTTCCAATAGTTTTCTTTTTTCTTTTTTATCTTAAACTTTGACGAATTGTGTTGTAGAGTCACAACTTTAATAGTGCAGTGATTTTTGTCGACAATGCGGGAATGGACTTTATTCTCGGCATTTTACCATTTGTAAGAGAATTATTGACTAGGGGCACTAGAGTGATCCTGAGTGCCAATTCCTACCCTTCCTTAAACGATGTTACCTATAAGGAACTGAATAGATATTGCCGGAGTGCGGCGAAACAATGCAATATTCTGAAAAATGCAATCAACAATGGCCAGTTGTTAACGCTGGAAAATGGCCAAAAAGGCCCCTGTTTGGATCTTAAAAATTTACCTTCAGGTAAAATTTGTATTACCTTATATTATTTAATTTGATATTATTTGTTTTGTTTTAGAACTCTGTGATTTGATGGCTGAATCGGACTTGATAATTTTAGAAGGAATGGGCAGATCCATCCACACTAATCTAAATACGGAATTTACGGTCGACAGTCTTCGAATGGCCGTTCTGAAGAACGAATGGCTGGCCAAAAGCTTAGGAGCTCATCAGTTCAGTGTAATATTTAAATATCAACGCCCAGCATGAAAGTACCTGACTTAATTTTGACTATTTTTTTTATTCAGTGTTAAATTAGGGTCGTATTTGTTAATTGCAGTAAATTTTAGTACTAAATTATATTGTAATAAAGTTGTTTTAATTATGAAAATCTGCTGTTTTCATTCTGAATCTTCCAGACTAAAGTTACGTGAATTTTCAAAAGCTTCATTTTAAGATGAATTATTTGAAACCAGCCATTTTTGCGCCAAAAAACTCATTTGAACAAACGTCGGTGTCATGTGACTGTCTCTGTCAGATACTAAAGGATAAAATGAGACCAAGAATGTCTGCGATCTGGTCTGACTGGTTGGCATGTTTTGACGTTCGTTTATAACCTAAAAGTGAAACCAATATTTTGATTTTCAATTGTGGAGAGTGTGTCCATTTCCAATGGATTTTCTTCGCAAGCCACTATCCACCCATCATGGAATTTGCTGAACTGATCACAACCCCCAAGCTGGATGGGGTGATTTTGCATTCGCCATTTCATGAGCCAATCGACGGCACTTTATGCATTACTGGCCATCATCTCATACTTTCCACTAGGAAGGAAAACGTACAAGAGCTATGGGTAACTGAAAGAATGTAAGTATACCCAGTATACAGTTTAAGGTGTATATATTTGCAGCTGTTGATCCAGGCAATAGATTCCATTGAAAAGAAACAGCCGCCTGGTTCTAGTCAGAACGGGGGCACAATCGTCCTCAAATGCAAAGACTTTCGCCAGTTACAGCTGGACATTCCGACTAGTTACGATTTTCACAATGTATACACCTCAATTGAACGTCTCTCTAACTTGGACAGGGCTGAACTCTCTTATCCATTCTTCTATCGGCCAATGTACCCTCTTTTAGAGGACGGGCATACTTTGTTCAGGCCTGAAACCGAGTTCGCCAAATTGCTCGCTACTGATCAATGGAGAATCTCGCACGTGAACCGGAACTATTCAGTCTGCAAGAGCTACAGTTCAGTGTGGATTGTTCATAAGTCTGTTGATGATAATACATTGATGGCTGCTGCGAGTTATCGGGAAGGAGGGCGGATTCCCCTGTTGAGCTACCGGCATGATAATGGTAGGTGAATAAATAATAACAGCTATTCTAGTTTTTGCTTGATTTGAGTGATTTACTTTTAGGTACCGTTTTATTGCGGAGCAGTCAGCCGTTAGTTGGGAACAGTGGTAAGCGCTCAAGACCAGATGAGAAGATCTTGGACGCGGTGGCGGTAAAAGATAAAAAAGGGTTTATCTTTGACACTAGAAGCACTGGACTAGCGGGGCACTGTAAAGGAAAGGGTGGAGGTACTGAACCAGATATGCACTATGCTCAATGGCAGAAGATACATAAAAACCTAGACAAACTAGTCAAGTGCGATGGCAGCGTTCAGGACCATTTCAGCAAGCTCATCGAGGGTGAGGTTACATAAATTTGGCTAAAAACCGCTCGCTAAGGCCGAATTTTCAGCTTGCCACGACACATCCATATCAACAGATAAATGGCTGCAGCGTCTGGAAAATTGCCACTGGCTAACTCACATCCAAAGTGTTCTAAGTGCTGCATGTCTAGTGGCTCAATGTTTGGATAAGGACGAGTCCAATGTGTTAGTCCATGGCTCATCGGGACTGGATGCCACTTTGCTGGTCACTTCTGTTACTCAAGTCGTCCTTAACCCGGACTGTAGAACGGTTAGAGGTGCGGTCTAAGAGCGCTGATTATTCAATGTTCTAAGGGTTGATTTTCAGGGCTGCAAGCATTAATAGAAAGAGAGTGGTTACAGGCTGGTCACCCATTTCAGCTAAGAAATGCGCGGTTTTGCTATTCAAACGCCAAGGCCAAGAACCAACAGCCCACCTTTCTGCTGTTCTTGGACTGCATTCACCAACTGCACTACCAGTTTCCCTATAGCTTCGAGTTCACCACTCAGATGCTGATCTTGATCTTTGAAAATTCATATTTCAGCAATTTCGGTGAATATCTTGTGCGAGTTTGGCTGTAGTCATAAGTGGAATTTGCAGGTACCTTCATCGGAAATAACGAGCAGGAAAGACAAGAAATGCGACTGGCCGAGACAACGACTAGCTTTTGGTCCTACTTGAACAGGCCGGACGTAATTACCAACTTTTTAAACCCCATGTATGAGCCCAACAAGGCCGCCATTTGGCCTAGTATAGCTCCGGTTAGCTTAGTACTATGGCGAGAGCTTTATCTCAGGTATGGAGTTGGGAAAAACAAAACAATTTTGATCCATTTGTATAAATTCCAGATGGGTGATTGATCCGAAGCACCAAAGAACTGCCGCCCAAAAAGCGGATGATTTGATTCAGAACGACAAAAATCTTCGAACCAAAGCGATCCGGATGAGGAAACAGCTAATGGACCTGCAAAAGGAGCTTCAAACCTTAACGGCAGACAGTGAGTGCGAGATATTGCATGAAAGTTGATTTAGACTGTCGCTCTCAACAAGTACGCTTATTAAGTAAGTAATACAATGCGTTTTTACTCTCTTACAACTTTCCGATTTTTTAAATAAGGAATCGAATATTTTTTTATGTACTTCAGTATTTGCTATTTAAGTTTAGTTTTATGAATCCTCAAGTGATTGTGTCGTTTGAGTTCTCGAACTTTTCGTTTTTTCTTGTTTTTGTCTTAAAGAACACTTTAAATTAACCAGTTTCAGTGGAAAAAATTTCTGGATGGTCCATAAATCAAGCCAAAAAACCCTTAAGTTTGAGGAAAGTCACCATTTTCAGGATAAATTTCGAGCGGTGTTGCCAAACTGCACAAAACGTTTTAAGTTAATGAAAATTGTTTCCTTGGATACCTAGCATACAGGGTAGAGTGTCCTACCGGAAACTGCTGCGATTTGTATCTAGCAAACTGTAATTAGGAGAAATTTGAAAATTGGACATTGTGGTGAAGTCATTGGGGTAAGCGGTCTAAAATATTTTCATGATGGCCACACTTTAGGTTATACCGGAAGTAGGTATGAACTTGCTTATTTTAAATCGCACACCCTATACAGGGTGGCCATTTTCTGAATCTTTGTATGGGTAATTTCTACATTTTTAAAGATAGAGAATCCGTTAAATGATCAAAATTGGGCAGAATTCGATTGTCTATTCATTACCGTTTTCAAAATTTAGGTACCCGACTTGGTTCCTGAAATATGCTGAAAAGGCAAGAAGTCAACACTTTTTTAATTATCATATAAAACGTAAACTACTTAAATTAGAAAATAAGTTTAAATTGTCTGGTAGAATTTTGGTCTTCTGAACTTAACAATGTTTTGTTTGTATATTTTTTGTAACAACTATTTGCATATTTTTCTTCTTTTGTTGCCGTAAAACTTCAAAAGATAAAAAATGTGTAGTAGGCTATGGAAACAAGAACTATATTATCACACAAAGCACAAAACAAAAATGAAATAATTAACAGACACAATCATGTTTACTGGGCTAATGAAAATCATCATCTAATTGAAAATAGGCGAGATCAACGTGTTTTTTTTTGTGAATGTGTGGTGAGGCATTATTAGTGATAAAATTATTGGTCCATTCTTTTATAAACACAATTTAAATATGGAGATATTTACACTTTTTACCAAATGAACTTGAAGACATGTTGAATAGTTTTCCGTTAGCATCGTAATTTTAAAAACGGTAATGGATAGGCAATCGAATTCTGCCCAATTAACGGATTCTCTATCTTTAAAAATGTAGAAGTTACCCATACAAAGATTCAGAAAATGGTCACCTTGTATATTATTACATTTTTGAATTCTAATTGTATTTAATGTATAATATCCTATACCTCAGTCTAACCTTATGGAGACATTTGAAATTTTATGTAAAAAATTACAGTTGCAGCCACTTGAATAATTATTCATTTTTTCTATAAAAGAATTTGTCATACTTAATTTGATGTCGATGATTGTCGCATCTATTGGTGGAAAGGACCTAGTTTAATGGAATTTCGAAAACATTTTGAAAACTATTAATACAAAGTGTTTAAAAAAAAAGTTTCAATATACAGTTGAAAAAACCGCCCAAAATCATTTTTTTCAAACGAAAACTCCCATTTTTGATAATATTGTCAATTTAATGTTTTCATATGGCTATTTTGCAGCATCTTCTTTTAAATCCTGTCACTCTTAGTTGCCAATGACGAAAGTGGCCATTTTTGATGCAATAAAATGCCAAAGGAATGCTGACAGCTGTCAGTTACCTTTTGAAAATAATTAATAATCATGTCCGGGCGCTTAAATTATACAAACGAAGATTATTTAAACTATTATTTATGGAGAATGATTATTAATTATTTTCAAAAGGTAACTGACAGCTGTCAGCATTCCTTTGGCATTTGATAGCATTAAAAATGGCCACTTTCGTCATGGCAACTAAGAGTGACMGGATTTAAATTGAGATGCGGCAAAATAGCCATTTGAAACACTTTTGGAATAGACATCGTTACACAAATTTACACTTATTTTTAATACTGAAWATKACAAAATTATCAAAAATKSGGGTTTCCATTTGGAAAAWTTGATTTTGGGCGGTTTTCACAACTGTATTCTGAAACKTATTTTTTTAACACTTTRTATTAATAGTTTTCAAAATGTTTTCGAAATTCCATTAAAGTAAGAACTTTCCAACAATAGAAGCGACTCAAATTAAGTATGAMAAATTTCCTTATAGGAAAAATGAATAATTATTCGAGTGACTGCAACTGTCATTCTTTACATAARATTACAAATATTTCAAAGAACGGTTAGACTTGGCTACAGGATATTGTATATGAAATCTATTTAGATATTTTGCATGTGTAGTTATCAATTGTTAAGACACGATTWCGGACCACATAACACCGGACAATCTCATTTTCGTGCATAAATAAGTGGTTTTGGAAAAGCGAAATTCAAAAGTTTGTGTTTTTGGCTTAATTTATGGACCATCCTGTAAGAAAAGCACACATACACCACTTTGAATTACTTTAATTCCAAACGCATATGAGCGATTTAATAACATCCATCTACCAATTCGTCATCTACCAGACTAACCCCGCCTAAGAGGGTTCCTACTCGGTATTTCCACACTTATCGCTATAACCTGACCCATAAACAATCAGTGCATTTATTTATGGGTTTCTCTTGAGTTTCTGGTCGCCCGAGTGTTTTACTTATAGAGCACGAATCAATTATCGACAACAATCCAGGAATGTTTAGTGCTTTTTAATTTAATGTGTTCTTTAAGAAAAAAACTGAAAGTTCGGAGGGACTCAAACGACACGATCACCCATTTTCCTTCTTAAGGTCATGACTGTTCATCAAAATGCGCACTAGGATATTTCGAATGCAGTTTATTCAGATTTTGATTGTCTAGTCATGTTATACTTAAATTATATTGAGTTAGCTTAAAGTGTGCGTATTTTTCTTTTTACCCGTATTATCAAAACCGACAACATTTTTATAGCACCTTTATCCATAATGTTTGGTCCGCCGTTTCGTTTTCAAGACGGCATCATCAACTTTGCTTTCTTTCAGTACGGCCCCAATTGATAATTTCTTGAATGCGAAACGTCTGACCCAAAAAGCTGAGAAGACGGTTTTCCTTTTCTTTATTAGCAAAGGTATTGAGAAGGAAATTCATGTAGTAGAAATTCAGTCGGTTGTTGTCTATGAAATTAGAAAAATTATCGTTAGTCGACATAAACCCAGCACAAGGGCCGTGACCCCCATGAGAACCATGATGAGATGGTTGTTCATGACATGACATTGGCATCGCTGGATAGAGAATTGAAATGTGATTCAGTCATAACATAAGTGAGGAAATTGGAATGGTTTTGACCCAGAAAGCGAAATTGTAATATCAGACACTTAGGTGCAAGATTATGTAAAAATTTTATGTTTTTTGTCCCGTTTTTGCCCATTTCTCGGAAGCAAAATGAGCAAGAACGCTCATTTTTACATCATTCTAGGAAGAACTAAATCGCCTTTTTAAAAAGGGAACCATCGATCAGGAAATGCTGGCAGTTTTCTCAAAAAGTTTCAGATCTGCGTGGTTTTTTTAATTGAATTTGAACCAGATAATTCGTTTTGGCACCGTTGGATAGATAATTGAAAATTCGATTTAGCACTAACAACATGAGTGAGGAAGTTCGAGCAGTTTTGACCCAGAAAGCGAAATTTCTGGAGTTTTTCCTCAAGTCAGGAGGGGGCATGTAGCAGAAATTCAGTCTTTTGTTGTCTATGAAATTAGAAAAATTATCGTAAGTTGACATAAACCCAACAATTTCCGCCCTTGAATCTAGATGATATTCGAGTGTGCGGTGCGGTCCTGAAACCTTTTTCAAAACAGCTCAGCATAATGAAAGGCCGCTGATTTGCTGCATTCTTGGGCAACTGTAAACCGTTGCTAATGGTTTTGTTTCGTCTGCTTAAATCATATCGCTCTGGCCGGCAAAACAAGGCGATTTTTTCGGGGAAGTCTCAGCGAAATCGCTGAAATCCAATACGGAACGCTCAGGCAACTCGACGCCCGTTAAGATAAGAATGCAGCTGGGCAACAAATTTATAACGTTTAAATCCTGCATAGGCAAGCAAATCTAAACGCAAATTGCACCTGCATTGAATGAGTAATGGGTGTCACCCTTAAGTGCTTTATGTTATTAATCTATCATCATATTTAAGATCCTTACTCGAGCTAATCGAGTCAGTCAGCTTGAAAGCACGATAGAGGAGGTATTTTTAAATTTCGTAATTTTCAAATAAAGTCAAGTTTTCTGCCATTGATTGTTAGTTAACTAGTGTTGAGGGCGGTAACTGATAAATCCGTTGAAATTTGATGATATTGAAATGCTGAAAATATTTCTACCATCGACAAGGTAAAATTGTAACCACCGGCAGTTTTAAATAAAAAATCAATGACAAAGAACTTTTAGTCGGCCGGTTATAACCTCGGGCGAAAAAGGAAAAAAACGGACCATGATTATCCACGAATTGAGTCCTATGCGTGATACAACTTCCAGTATCGTATCGCAAGATTTTCAGTTGAACGCAAAAACTTTTCAAAAAACTGCCTGTTGCTAAGCTTTGGAACCGCTAAGTCACGACAAAGTCTCTTCGATTCCGTAGAATCCCTAAGGCTCGACTACAAACTGGTTTTTCCATGGGGAGCTTAAAGAGGGCTGCTTTTAAATTTCGAATCCATCCCTGGACCAAACCCGTCAGATTTAATGATGTTTGGACAATAAAGAACAGCTTGAAGATATTGCAAGGGGCAATTCAGCAATCTACTAAAAGTGTGGGGTTTCAGCCAGTCTGACCGATAAGTAATAAATGAATGTTCATTTTTATCGCTTATCGCTGATGAATAAAATCCCGTTGAAACTAAACCTGACAATTTATCATTGCAAAGTATCAATAAAGATTTTGCCTTAAAACAATAGCAGTTTCTGATTTTTTGAATGCCTGAAATGATAAACAATCCATGAAATCAGTTTGGAACGTCCAACTGTTTGAAAAGCTCCAATAATGCCGCGTCATGTTCCGCTACTGATTTAATTTTAATAGTACGTTACGGTTTGGTCATTGTAAAAATAATGGAAAAAAGTGAAGCACGGCAAAGCCGAGATTATGACCTCTTTGTTGTGCAGCATTTGAGATGAAGCTGATCGTTACAGGTACTTTAAATCGTGGTACCACTCGCTACAGGTAAATTATGATCGCATGGGTTCCACACCCTACAGGACCGTCATGAAAGTGAAGAAGCAGCATGTCGGGCTCAAACTGAAAGACGTAATCAACCCCCTGAGACATTTAATGGGTGGTCTTGGGTTCCCATTGTGTCCCATGAAGGACTTTTCGGAAAAAGGCTTGCACATGTAGGGAACTTTCTAATATTCGTGCCTTGAATCATCCGGCACCCCGGTGAGGACAATGACCACCGTGTGTCTTTGCTACGAAAAACTGCTTTTTTTTTCATTTCAGTAATTAAAAGCGTGAAAGTTTAGATATTGAGTTCGTCCCTGTACAAAGCGCCATGCTCTTTCGATCTCAGGTAAATCGTCTTCCACCTGCTTGAAAATTACAAAGTCAGTGGTGGAACTTGTATTATTGGATGTTGGTTTCTAGCTAGTGAAGCGTAAAATAATTCATTATGAAAACTCAATTTTCCCTGGCTTAATTATGCGGGCTCTATTAGTTTTATGGCCATTATCAAATCAAATAAGGGTGGTCGCGTGACCCGCATGAGATTTGGGGTACTTTTGACCTGATGCCTCTTACTATTGCATTGAATCTCCATCTTCGCAGATATGAAGTTAAATTAATAGGGGCGAAATAGGGGCTTCAACTAGATATAATAGTTGTGAATCATTGAATAATCTGTGAAGAATATTGACCTGCAAACATCAACCCTTTTGCATCACATCGATAGGACAAAGTCAGCAAAAGCAGAGAGAAGTCTGCCCTATAACTGAAAAGTTTCGATTTTGAGTCACSATCAGGGAATTTTCAAAAATTGTTTAATTTTGTTCTCGAGGAACTTTAAGCGGGTCGCGGTCCAGCATTATTCACTCAAAAGCTTGCAAGCAGAGACTAGTTCTCTTATGTATGATACCAGTAGGACAAAGTTTTGATTTTGAGTTTTGCGGATATTTAAGCATTTGTTTCAGTGCCAAGTTATACCGGCCGAACGCAAAACTGCAAATATTTATTTTTCAAACTGCATTTTCACATTTTTGACCTGGTTTAAGGACTAGAGGGCTGCGAAAACCCTCATTTCATTGTCATGATAATGTAGAAATAATGCTGCAGATTGAAAAATCTCGAATAAAACTTTAGGAAACATTGGCAATGGGTACGAAAGAAGTTTAAATACTTCTGCAACGTTGTGAATAATTACAAATATCAAATTTAAAAAATGAGGAATTGCTTCAGATTTTATTCGGACTAAATACTCTGCAAAACTGCGACAAAAAATCCAGAAGAGGCGGAGGATATCAAGAAAAATAATTAACTAGTTGACGAATTTCTCCTATCTTATTCAGCAAGTCAAACAACTCATCATTGCGTTTCCTGAAACGAACACTTGAAAGATTAAAACCAAGCATTAAATGAATGGGTCATTATGGCTTTTTAAGACAAAATCAGCAGTTTTGCATCAAAAACACTCTTTCCGTCAAAGATCTTCAGGTAACACAAAAAGACGTCATTGAAATGTTCAAACACTTCAAAATTTTCCAATAAATTCCCTTACCTAATTCCAGCGACGATCTTCAGTAATTTGCAGTTCAGCTGGGCCACTTCGTGGCCTTTCACCAGTAGACAAAGCCTCTATTCTTGGATGAGTGTGGATCTAGTCATGAGATATTTAAAGTTACATGTACCAAACCCGCACCCATCAAAAAATAGATCACTGCATTAGGCACTGATGGATCACTTGGGATTTTAGTCGAAAAAGCACCGCAAAAAAACTACCACACTTTGGGCTTGAATGAAGCATTTACCCGAACAGTTCAGCGGAACCTGACCGCGACTGCCCACAAGAGCAACGGTCGGAAAATGATTGTTTATTTTTTTGAACTTTCCAAAGAGCGAACTACCAATCGGGGGACTGGGTTGCGAGAAGGGAGGGAGATTGCCAAATCGATTTGCCTTCGAGATCGCCTCCGTTCACGTGGCATCTTTGTTGCTCTAACAGCGCTTGAAACCGCCTGCTCATGATCCATTGCCGTATGCGTCTTGCAGTTGGCGCTGCTATTCTAGAGGGCACCACAGCGGTTGCATATGTCAGGTAAAGCTTTCGAAGCTCAACCGAAACTGTTTTCGCAAAGCTGGATGAATTAATTACATCCAAAAGTGTGGCTGATAAGTATTAGTAAAATTTCCATAAATCGAACAGGAAAGAAACCAGTTAAAACCAAACCCATCTGTAGTTAACCGGAATAAAAAGACTGGTTACCGGTGGCGGCTACGTCATAGACGCTTACCCATTGGGTGCGTTTGCGCGGTTAAACTATCGAGACGCTTAACAGAACGCGTCCACGTGCTCATTGGGTGTGTTAAGGTGGTAATTAACCACTGAGACTGAGAATTTTGTGACTAGGACCAATAAAATAGGTAAGAAAGTATGTCTTTTATGTTTTTTGATGTCCAGGACTGTCTAATATGTCCAAAAGACTGCCACAAAACGTCAAAATAACCTGAAATTGACAATATTGACATGACATTCGTTGACATTTAATTTGCCTAAAATTTTGTCATCCATCAATTTTATTTCAATAATTCAACTATCAGAATGTTGTTGCCGTCTTTAGGGCTTTGTTGTTCCATGGGGAGGCCTACAATTCGCAAAACAATGTGGACACAAACACACCCTACTTGGCTTGGTGGCCGCCATCTTTATTGCGTTGTACTTTGGGTATTTCCGGTTAATTCCTGGTTGAACTCGTATTTATTATTTGAGGCTCTTTCCGTCTTGAAAACGTTTTGGAAATTTTAGGAAAGCTAAGCCTACAATGAAAGTTCAATTTTCTAGATCCGACTGGCCCCATATCGGAGATGTCTTCACCCCAGTACGAAATCCAGGAAACAACAGGTTAGTATGCTGTATTGTATTGTATTGTATTGTATTGTATTGCATTTTGTCATGTTTTATTATTTAAACTAGACTTGAAATATCACCCATATATCAAGTCTACTGCTCTATTGCATATAAAAATTAGTAAGGAAATGAGGAAAACATCTGTTGTCACACACTCAAAGGTGGAGTTCAATGGTTTACTCGGACTTCCATTAGCTTACAAATATGTTTTAACGCAACATTTCGTTTGTACCCATTTTGTACCCATTTCCATGCGACAGATTTGTAAAATTTTAGAAACAGGTATTTCTATTTCTGTAGCAAACGAAAAGCACAGTTACTAAAAAGTAGTTTTCGTATGGGCGCTGCAAGCTAAAACTGGACAATCTGAATCACTACAATTTAATCCTCTTTATCAGTTATAATTATTGCAACATATGTATGTGATGGGGCACAACTAAATTTTTTTGTTTTGGGGCATTTTCCAGTTGATCAAGCACGATTTGATACGAGTAGCGCTGAAGACAACGAGTCGGAAGATGGCGAACAGCAGGGTGAACCACAGATCATGTACGCGCAGTACGATGGCAACTTTGAACCAGAATTCGAATATCAGTATGTCCAGCGAACAATCAAACGACGCGGGCATTTGCCGAAGGATTCGGTGAAAGCATTGAAAAGCTGGTTGTACGAGCATCGATTCAACGCTTATCCGACCGAAGTGGAAAAACATCTTCTCTCCCAAGACACTGGCCTGACTGTGTTGCAGATCAGCAATTGGTTCATCAATGCCCGAAGAAGGTATCTGCCGGATATGATGAGGAGGGAGGGCTACGACTCGATGCAGTACACAATCACTAGAAGGAGAAAGGCCTCAACTAGAGGTGAAGGTGATGATGACAACGGGGGAGAGGTAGATAAATTGAAAGCATATCAGGCCGTGACTTTCGCCGTTATCACGTACTCATCTTATAGATAACGTTTTTATTAAGAGCTTTTCTTTGTGGTGTTTTTAGCGAAAATGCGGTTTTATACCACTGTTAATGATCGAAATTCAGGCTATTTTTTCCAGTTTTTCAATTAGATGACAAAGGACGCCCCCGCTATCTGTCAAACCGGTGTGACGGTGACACATCGGAAAATTTCGCGCATTGGCCAAATGTTTCTTGAATTTTTCTTACTAAACGTTTTGTAGGTAGAATTAAAATCCGAATTTTCGGAAGTAATAATTAGTTCGATGTGCATACTGTCACTTCGAACTAATTATTACAAGGGAAAATTCGGATTTTAATTCTCGGGTAAACGAAAATTTTTTAAATGTTATTGTGAATCAAATTTCTTTTTTTACTGCAAATTTGATTAGTTAAATTGAAAATTTGGCAGGTAAAAGGTGCGCACGGAGTACAGAATTTGGACAATTTTTATACAGACAAATATGTGAAAATGGAAATCGATGAAAAAAAAATGTGATTGCGTATGTTTAGTATCTCCATCCCTGCATTAAAAGCTCGTTTGTCTGTCTGGAACCGCACTGTTCGGATAAACGACTTTTTGTTCAGAGTATTGTGTTTTGCCCGTGTCAAAACGTGTTAATCGTGTGGGCCAAGGCCTGATATCTTTTGAACTTACCGCGAGGAAACTGGAATTTGATTATTTGTATATGCACTGTTTTTACACTGTTTTTACAAGTAAACACTTCTCACTTGCCCCTTCAAACTATTTTTTATATTCCGCATTTAAGGTGGTATATCAAAAGCTAAACAAGATCATGCGAATACAACGAGTACAGGATGAGGAGAACCCGGCCGATTTTACCGATTCCGGTGAATACATAATTGGAGAAAATGGCATAATAACCAACGATAAAAAGTTCAACCCTTGGAACCCCGATATTCACTATGGCCTGACTGTCAATCCAGCAGACAGAGGGTTAGAATGTTGGCAGAATGTCGCTTCCGTGTTTCGAGCGTGTTTTTCTTTTGCAGATCGACCAGCGCCGAGGTACCAAAGGCAAAACAAGCCCAGGTTAAACAGGCAACTTTCCCATCAAACTTGGTCATGGTGAAAACAGCATCTGGCAAAAATGTGCTTTTAAAGGTGGTTCCACAAGGAAGCGGAAATGTTAGTGGTTATTCCATGCGATCTTCTTTGTCACTCACTTATCACTGTAAACATTGCAGATTCCGACCGCCGTGATTTTGAAGCCCACAAAAATCATCAAACGTCCCGTTATCAAGTCTGAATTTGTCCAAGGAACATCCACTTCATTCTCTGCCGATTCAGGCGAGGTAAGCCGTCGATGTTCAGCTGTTCACGATTGAACATAAATATATTTGCAGTCGTCGAAAACTATCATTCTGAAGCCGACGAAGATGATCAAGAAGCAGACAATAGTGCCTCAAGCGAATCAACATCAGACCATCCAACTTGTGGAAGAAGAGATTGGCATCGATGAAAATGAGTTTGCTTGCGAAAATCTCAAACAGGAGTATTTTGAAGATGACGAAGTGGAAGCCAACACATCTACGGAAATGTCCAGCATGCTTGAAGAGGAGATCGTCCATGAAAGCGTCTATGTGGAGGACAATTTGGATCCAGAAGGTAAGCTTTTACAGATCTCTGCTTGGGCCAGGAGAATTACGACGAAATCTTTCAAATATGGCTCTAACGTGACGTTACTTAGATAACTATTGAAAATATCTAGGTGCGCCAGCTACAAAAGTGTGCTATTTGCAGAAACAGCAAGTGAAAAAAAAATCAAATACCGGGTTTTTTGCCAGAAACAATCGATATAAACTCGGTAATTATGCATTTTACAGAAAAAATGTATACTTATAAATTTGTTCCATATGAAATTTGCTAAAAGATATAGTTGGTCCGATATCTGCAGACTTGATACGTTCACTTAAAAAATGCCCGAAAGTACACCGATTAAACCGATTTAAACCGATCAAAAAGTTATTAAAAATTAAAAAATGGTTAATATAGCAATGGTACATGACAGTTTAACGGTCCAGAAAGGGGTAAAAGCACAGACGCATAACTTTGGCCTGGCACAAAATTAAAAAAGCACTTTTTTCACACTCCTGAACAAAGCCCTCTTTCATTTGTTTCCATGCTGTCTTTCGCTGTATGTTATCATCTTCCTCCTGCTATTCTTTTAATATCATCCAACCATCTCCTCTGTGGCCTGCAGATGCTCCTCCTTGTTTGCCGTGATCTCCACTGTACAAGCCTTGATACTTAATACCCATCTGTCCACACTTAGTCTGGCAACATGCCCAACCGATTGCCACTAGCTCAGCGATTCGCTGTATTATGTCCATTACCTTCGTTACGGATTTCATCTCGTAAGCTAACGCCAAGCATTGCCCGCTCCATGGCCCTTTGCATTGTCCTAAGCTTATTGGTGTACGTATGGGTTAAAGCCTTTGTCTCAAGACCATATGTTGCGACAGGCAGGATGCATGTGTTAAAGACCCTTCGCTTAAGAACTATGGGAATGTCGGGGCTTTTAACTATACGACTCAGTTTTTCAAATGCCATCCAAGTCAGTCTCATTCCTAGTGTGTTCCATGCCCTTAGTGTCAGTAACTTTCTGAACATTAGGATTCAGCACAACAGAGAGGTCTACTCTTCCAGTCAACAATCATCCTGATACTTCATTTTGGAAATTCTGCTCTTTCCGGGCGAAAGTATCTATCTAACAACCTTCATGTTGTTATTCTCAATTGCGGTTTGAATTGTTCTGGAATTATAGAATCTTACGTGACTCCTTACTGCTCTCCGAATCCTCCCGTTGAGCCCCTGGTATTCGGCTGCATCTCTGGATGTTGTTTTCCTTTCTTTTATAAGTTTTAGTGTGCTTGGTGTTAGCTTACTGTCTCTTGGTGTTTTAACTCTGGAACAAATTTTCCTATTTATTGTTTGAATGTCTTTGCTTATTTTCTCGGCGAGATGATTCAAGTTTATTTCCTCTATGTTGACAATGGGGTTAAATTTATTCTCCAATTCTTTCTGAAAACCCTCTTTATGGACGCTTATTTCTTTTGCAGTGGGGAAAATTTGATTATTAACAACTTTTGCTCATTCAATTCTCAGGTTTAGGGAAATTGCTGCTCTAATCAACCGGAGGTCGCTCCCAGTATAAAACAGTTGTACCAGTTGGACTTCTCCATGTCCATCTCATTTGTTCGGGTTTGTATAGCATAGTCAACATGCTTATTGAAATGAAGTCGGGAGTCTGGTTTGAATCCCAGGTATTTCACCTCTTGTACTGATTTGATTGAACTATTTTGGACCATGAGGGCGATATGATTTTGTTGTTAGTGAATTTGCGAGAAAAGATAATAAGTTCAGTCTTTCTAGGAGTCACCTTAAGTTTTCATTTGTCGAAATACGGCGTCAATAAACTCAGGTGATGGACAATGCGGAATTTCGCAGACTGAACATAGAAAGAGGATGTGTAAATAGCATGTGCCAAACTGTGTCGAAGGCCCTTTTCACATCAAGAAGCAGCATTACCGTACTTTAAAGCTTATTAAAAGCGACGAAAAAGACGATCCTAGCAGTGTGCAGCGTTGTGTTGTGTCTTGGTCGAAAGCCAAACTACTCATCCGGGATTAAACTTCGAAGGTCGCTGCTGTAGTCTCGATAGGATAACCGTCTCGTATGACGAGCGTTGAAATCTCCCATAAGCAACACTATATTGGTGTTTGAAAAGAAAGGATCAACGTCAGTATCCTGCAAGAGAAAAGAAGTATCCTTTATGGGATCGTTGCCTTGACCGCTATGGCCACTCTACTCCTTAGACCGGGCCAATCGGCACGCTCGAGCCCCTGTATCTCCGAAGACTCCGGAGTCCACATGAGTTCCATTCCTCAATCTTCATAGGGCACAGTTGACAATATCAATATTTAAAAATCGAAGCTGGTGATATCTTCATTGAAGAACTGCTGCTTAGTGCTAGCTGAGCGGAGGAAACTCCGCTAGTGAAGGCGGTGGTGGCGGCAGTCTTAGAAATGGAGGGTAGATCGGGCCAGGGGCTCTGCTGGTTTGCTGGCAGGCTGGCTTTTTAAAACGTTTTGTCATTTAAAATGCCGCGCTTGCCCAGCTTGTTGGCGAGAGGGATTGAGTGTTACTTTTTCTCAACTCTCTGTTTGAACAGTTATTCCACTGTTACGCGGTCGTCAGAGCCTCGTTGGTTTTCTTGCAGGGTGCACCGGATAGCCAGATAACATAATAAAATAATAATAACATACAAAAACAGATAACCACCAGCTACCACACGAGCAGGCGAAGTTGACATTTGGCTAGGTTTCTTTTCCCTTTCTTACCTTCGACCCTTGCAGTCAAGTACTTTTCTCCAAATATGTATATTGCCTGATTGGGAAATTGTTTCATGCTAAATAAATAATTTAAAATTACCTTGTTTTTTATCAACTTTTTTACACTTTTTTACACACGCTCGCATTTTTAAGCGAACATTTCAAATCTACAGATATCGGACCAACTCGATCTTGTAGCAAATTTATAAGGATTTTTTCCCTAAAATGCATACTCACCGAGTAATATGTGATTGTTTTCGGGAAAAAAACGCGATTTTCGTATTTTTTTTTCACTTTCGTTGTTTATGCTAATAGCATACCTTTTCAAGCTGGCGCACCTTCATATTTTCAATAGGTATACCATTCCCGAGCGATTCTAATAGTTATCTAGGTTACGTCAGGTTCCTGGCCTAGATGGGTAAAACCCATTTAAACCAATTTAAATCGCTTGTAAAATTTGCAACAAATAAATGTTTCTTTCAGCTGTATTTGAAGAAGAACTTGTTCAAGATGAAGACAGAGAAGAAGAAGTAGCTGAAGAAGAGGTAGTTTTAGACGAAGGCACTTTTCTGAGTGAAGACATCTTTTGCGAACCTGTGGAAGAGGAACCTGAAGAAGTGTTTGTTAATGAGGTGACTTTGGAAGAGGATGTAAACGAGGTAACTATCGAAGAGAACGTTAATGAGGTTACGGTTGTTGATTACGATTAGATTAGGGTTTAGTATAGGGAACAACTCACGAAAATGTAGTAAACTTTACTTTCACTAGCTTTTGGAAGTTCCCTCATTTTGGAGATTCTAAAAGCTATTGATGTGTCCTACTGTATATATATGTATAGAGTACAGGTTTTTATTTTTGTTTTTTTTTTCAACTTAAGGACTGGACAGGATATTTTAGTTTGCTGCAAATTTTGCAAGCCAATTGTATTGGTTTCAAAAAAGTTTACCAGAGCATTGGCAAATATTTTTTGTTCAATTTCAATGTGTATTTTTATAAAAATGTCATACTTTTTTATATTCTATCGGTGATTTTTGGGTGCTTACAGACATTCGCCTAGGGTGAGATAAAATTTCGACATGGACGTTTCGCTACCCCGTTGGGCTAACATCTTCACAGTGTGTACACAGTTGAAGATGCTAGTATCAAAACGTAGAAGCATTCTTATCTCCCAACATCCAAAGTAGACGCACGTCTGAGGATGTCAGAAGAACCGAGCTTCAGTCAACCGCGGACTAATCATCCAAAAATCACCGATGCATATATTGTAACCGTTTGGTTCTTGTTAATAGGCTTATATTTTATGTTTTAAGATTGTTTGAAACTCTTGCTCTCTCGGAAAATTCGTGGGAACTTTCCTGCACACCATTTGGTTGACCAAATTTTGCATAAAATTTGGGTAAATGCGCGAAGATTTCAAGCAGTTTTAAAGCGACAGGGTTTGAAATGGAAGTTTAAAGTAGAAATAATTTAAGAATAGTTAATTATCACCCGGGTTTACCGAACGTGCTGCTTTTGTCTATATCACCTATCAAAGTTATTGGTTTTGTGCGTATTTGGCGTTACCTCTATCAAAAATAAAGTGTACCTTACTTCACATGTACAGGACACTGCATTTCAGCTCCCTTCTTTTGCTATAGCTGGAGGATATGGTTTGGAAAAACTAAAAAAAAAAAAACACTTGGGTCTGGACTGGTAGAAATTCTAGTCTTCTTTGGACACCTTGTATATTAAATTTTTTATAAATTATGTGAGATCCATGTTGTCCAATCCAATCAATGAAAATTTTCAAGGATCATGATTCAAGATCCTTGAAATGCCAACTTAATTTGCTTTTTTTTATTGATTTTGTATGAAGTAAATTAGTTCGGTTCTTTGATTTATTTAATACGCAGAACTGGGGTTAAATTGTTATAGTTTAGAATTATAGGTCAAATAGTGCAGCGGGTGTATAAGTACGTTCATTTAAGCTTTAGAACCGCACTTTCTAAAATGATAAGAATTTCTTACAGCGACGTGTCTGCAGGCGGTCCACTATCAAAGATATCAAGTTTTCATTCCCAAATGTAAATTAGCCTCTTTACCGATAGAAAGGGCCTAACTAATCGTTTAATTTGATTTATTTTGATTAGAAAAACAGCGGATCTGAGTGATTAAACGCAAACTCTCATCCTCAAATTATAAAAATTTACTAATAGTTTTCAATAATTTGTGGATACACGTTTAATTTAAGGCGAAGTAGTGGTCCATGCTCTCACAGTGGAGGTGTATGCATAGGAGTGAAGGTGAAGATCACTCAGCCTTCTCCACAATAAATTTATTGGATTTAGGTTTTCTCCCTTTTTGCTCCAAAATAAGATTTATTTACCTTCGGTTAAAATGTGTGGTGCACACTGTTTCCCGTGTATATAAAGACAGTCAGCGCACTTTTTATCACTTAAGCTCCTGTGAATGGGTACTTAAGTGCCCGCAACACGACGAGCGGATCCTCTTAAATTGTCCATTAAAAAGGTCCAATAAATTTATTGTGGAGAAGGCTGTGTGTTCTTCATCTTCACTCGAACTTTAATGTAAGATTCATAAACGTTCATACAGAGTTATATTTGTTGTAAATGGTATTTTTTGAGGGCTTCAGGCTTAAATGTTAATGTCTAAGGCTTTTAAATTTTGATAATCTCATCAACGTTTTCATGTAATATTATTTAGACTAGCACTTCATCACGCATCTTCCAATTCGTCAGTAGATTTTTATTAATTTCCCAATCTTCCATGGTTCGTTGGTAGAAATAGTTGATTTAATTAGTGAAGCACTCCAGCGATGCATTAATTAATTCAATTTGGTGATTTATTGAAGTGAAGCCAAGTAGGATGTAAAAATTAAGTGAGTGGATTCGATGGCAGTAAAGGATGTATATATTGGTATGATAAATAAATTAACACCCCCAATAATACGGATGTTGTATTAACCAAAGAAGCGGATTTTTTGCGAGGCCGCTGTTTCTTTTTGTTTTGCACTATTCTCTATAATAGGAGGAGTTTTCTTGTTAAATGAAACAGCATTTGTATATTAAAAAAATCAATATTTAACCGCTTTTACTGTGCTAAAATATAAACAGTTTAAAAATCATTATTATAAGTACTTAGATGTAATTGCGGATATAATATAGGCTTAAAAATTAACACGGATTAGACCATGATGATGATGATGATAACAGACCAACAATTTATAATTAAGAACAAGACACTCGCAAAAACGTATTTAATTTGGAATCACAGAACGTCCATAAGGTTTTTTTGCCAGAAAACTAAAGTTTTTTTGAGATAAAAGAGATCAATTTTTTGATTTGTTTATTTATTTGAAATTCAAAAGGTTTTGCTCTTTTGATTCATTTATAGGCCTTTTGACTGGTTTTATGAATTTTTACCAACTTGCTCACTTTGCTCAACTTGGACACTGCATTTTTTTTAGAAACAGTCTAGAAATTAAAAATATTCTACTAAATTGTTTGTGCCTGTTGAGCATTTTCCTCTAGTCGACAAATATTCTTCTATCCGATTTGTACTTTGGGTTTAACGCGCACAACATTTTAAGTCATATGAACAGGCCAATACATTCTAACTAGATGTGTTTATGATGGGAACCCTAAGCTAGTTTGAAAACATCGACTTACGCTAACGCACCACAGTTGGTTTCTTTCCATTAAACCTTAAATGAACTGGCAGGCAAATAAATATCGGCAACCAATAATTTTTCCATTTTAAATCAGTGAAATGAGTGAGAACATTATGAGGGCTGATAAAAGTGCTGCAATTGGAACGGTGATAACCCACGCATAGATAATGTTCCTGCAAAGAACAGCAGTTAATTATTCGACCTTTCAGGGGAGGAAACTCACCTAAACAAGCTCCAGTCGACGCCTTCCTTTGACGAGCTAAAATATCCCACAAAAACGACCGAACCCACTTTGCAATGCGTGGTCGAAATCGGTATTCCTATTTTACTTGCTAATAATACTGTAAATGCCGCCCCGATCTCAATGGTGAATCCCCTGAAACAACCGCCAGTTAACGCCTAGTTAGAGCTGCCTCGATCCAACACTCACGTTGAAGGGGTTATTTGAGTGAGATCCTCACCGATCGTCTGTATCACTCGTCGGCCCCACAGCCACAACCCGACAGATATTCCTAAGCCACCATAAAGCAGGATGAATAAGGGTGTTTCTGATTTTTGCGCCACTGTTCCTTCGGAGTAGATCAGCCACAGCGTTATTAACGGGCCTATTGCATTGCTGAAACAACAACAAAAATATTCTTGTATATTTATGCCTATCTAAGCTCGTTTGCTCTGACCGAATCCCTACTTGTTCTAGAACTGCTCCCTGTTCTAGATCCGTTTAAAGCTGGCGCAGTTCTAGAACAACGAGCGCTTCTAGAACAGGTCGAGATTCAGTCAACGCAAAGCTTGTTCGCGTTGCAAGTTAAATCAGTTTTTCTGATGCGTTTTGAAGGGTGGTTCAACGATAATGCACGATGTAAATTTTTAGTCACACATTAAGGTCAAGTTTTTTGCCCAACTTAATTTGGCATTTCTTTGTTTCAGTGTTTGACAAAATCAACCATGGAAGAGGTACGCAATTGAGCAGCGCGTTAAGATTGTTGAAGCCTTTTACGAAAATGGGCGTTAAAATCAAAATGCATTTCGTGCACTTCGTAATTTTTTTGGTCAGCATAATCGATCAAATGTGTCCACGATCAGCAGAATTGTACGCAAATTTCAGCAAACCGGGTATGTAGGAAATGTGAAAACACCAGTGCATGCTCGCCCAGTTCGTTCTGCGGAAAACATTGCTGTTGTTCGCGATAGTGTGGCGGAAGAGGCGTCAACCTCGGCTCGTCGTCGTGCCCAACAAGTGAACATCTCACGAATATCACTGATGCGAATTTTGAATAAATATTTGAATTTACACAAGGTTTAATGTGGTTCAATGCTGACTCAAGAGCTGAAGCCTACTGACCATTTCAAGCGTCGTCAATACACTGAATGATTGATTGCACAAACAGAAGTTAATGGTGCGTGCACAAAGAAAATCATCTTCAGCGACGAGGCACACTTTGTCTCAGTGGATTCTTTAACAACCAGAATTCCCGCATTTGGGCAAGTGAGAATCCACGAGTGATTGTTGAAAAGCCGAAGCATCCAGAAAAAGTGACTGTTTGGTGATGTTTATGGGCTGGCGGCGTCATCGGGCCATACTATAGCGATATTTAAAAGAAAAAGTGTACATCAATAAGCCAAGAACAATTCAAGGGCTCAAGTATGAGATAATTCGGCACATCAACGACATTGAACCTCAGTTACTGTGTCGTTGAACATATGGACCATCGTATAGAAGTCTGCCACCGAAGCCGTGACGAGCATTTGGCCGATATTTTATTTCACATATAATTGTCATAGATCTTTCTAGCATAATAAAAAAAAATTGGGATAATTTTCTGAAAAGTTTTTGTTTAATTTACAATTAACATCGTGCGTTTAGGTTGGACCACCCTTTACCTGACATCATTTCCTCCGTGTGCAAAACTGCCGAACATCGCAGTTAAAATTTGCAGGAAACTGAACAGTTTCGATACGCTCTTGTTCTCGACCAGCTCAGGCCTGTTCTGCAACTGCACAACTTGTTCCTGTTCGATCGTGTAACTTTTCTCTCTGATCAGAGGCACACCACTAGAACTGGGCGACAATGTCGGGTTGATCAGAGCCGACGTGCTTTCTTTCAGTTTCAAATCTTTTGGCCTACAAATGCGAAACATGTTGCTTAGCCAGGCGTAACGGAGAAAATGTTGATGTTTTCACAACATGCTTGTTGAAGTTGAGTTCTAAGGTCAAGACTATTTTTTCAAAAATTTGCCACTGCAAAATGGACCCTCAGAACGAGCTGATGTTAGTTGCATTTTCTAGTTTTCTGTTTGTGATAACGTGGAATATTTGTTTCAAAAATTTGCAAATTTGCCACATTTTTTGTTAGTTTCTGATGAATTTTTGAATACGAGGCTGAGTATCGTTTATCGTTAGTTAGTTATCGAGAAATTGAACTGAATCCCTTTAATAGAAAAAAAGTTGCCCTAATTATGCGAAAATTGCAAATTTGCCAAACATTTCGTAAAGCTTGGCGAATTTTTGAATACGAGACTGACTATCGTTCTTCATAGAAACAAGGGAAAAAGTGTAAACATTTTCTTGTTTACTTTGTGGAGTAAAATTGAAAGCATAAAGAGTTCGAACTTAACTCGTTCAATAAAGAAAAAGTTCCTGGATTTGTGTGGTAGTTTGCAAATTTGTCCAGATTTTTTAATACGAGATCAGTGTTTTCTTCAAAACGTTTGAATCAGGATTTTCAAAAAATCTGGAAGTACATAGCAAATTCGCATTTCCCCCTTTAAATAGAGATATAGCTGTTCTATTTTTGAGAAAATTGGAAAATTTGGGAAACTTTTCCTGAAGTTTTTGCAAATGTTTGAATAAGAGGCTGGCTGCCGTTTCTATTTTCTATACTCGGAAAGATTTTGGTCACAAACAGTTTAAGCATAAAACTTTATGAGACAAAATTGAAAACATATATAGAGTTAGCATTTAAGCTATTTAATAGAGAAAACGTTGCTTTATTTACTTAAAAATTCGCAAATTTGTGAACATTTTGTAAAGTTTTGTCGAAAATAACGGGAAAAAAAATTAACCATTTTTTTTAAATTCGTGAGGCGAAATTGGAATGTTTAATAGAGAAGAAGTTACTCTATTTGTGTGGAAATTTTGAAATTCGTCAAAACTTTAGGAGGATTTGGGTATGAGATGATTGGCTATAATTTCGATATCTAATGTAAAGATTGGGTAATAATTTTTTGAATATTTTTCTGCCACAAGTAAATTCATTCCACGAGATGATATTTAGTCTGCTTATTACAGAAAAGTTGCTCTATTTTTGAGAAAATCGGAAAGAATGCGAAACTTTAACAACATTTTTGGCAAATTTTTGAATACGTGAGTGACTGAGTTTTTTTTATATTGGAAATATTGCGCCACAATTTATTTAAACATTTTTGAGCCAAAAAAACACTCTATTTATGTAGAATTTGAAAAATTTGCGAAACATTTCGATACGTTTTGACGAATTTTGGAATACGAGACTGACTATCGTTCTTTATAGAAAATGTTACGACACAATTCTTTTTAAATTCGTGAAGCAAAATTGAAAACACATAAAAAGTCATCATTTAATTCTTTTAATTGAGATAAGCTTGTTCTATTTATATGAAAATTTTCAATTGCGCTAAATTTTCACAAAGTGTTGGCGAATTTTTCGAAAGCAAAACTGTCGTTTTTATACTGCAAATATGCAGTCACAGTTTTTTTTTAATTTGTCTGCCCAAATTGGAAATAAACGACCAATCGGTTGTTATTCTACTTAATAGGGAAAACGTTGCTCTATCTGTTGGATAGTTTACAAAATTTGGGAACAATTTATTACAGTTTTGGCAATTTTTTGAACACGCCATTGACAAACGTTTTTTGAGGAAAATATTGTCACCCATTTTTCGTTTAATTTAGCAGGCAAAATTGGAAACATATAGAAGGTTCGAACGTTTAAAGGAGAAAAAGTGATTCTATTTGTGTGGAAATTTGAAAATTCGTCAAAATTTCAGAAAAGTTTGAAGGAGTTTTTCAGTACGAGATTAGCTATAGTTTCGATACTGTAAAGATTGAGTAATCAATCATTTCTTTAAATATTTTTCTGCCAAAACTCAACTCATTCCACGAGATGATATTTAGTATACTTAATAGAGAAAAAATGGCTATATTTTTAAGAAAATTGGAAAAATTGCGAACATTTTTGAACACGAGAGTGACGGCATTATTTTTATACTCAAAGTATTAATTTGTTTAAAAATTTTTGAGCTAAAATTAGAAGAATTGATATTGTTTCTCTATTTAATAGAAAAAGATTAGTTCTATGTATGTAGAACTTGGAAATTTCGTGAAACGCATCGAAACTTTTTGAATACGAGACTGACTATCGTTCTTTATAGAAAATATTACGACACAGTTCTTTTTAAATTCATGAAGCAAAATTGAAGACACATAAAAAGTCATCATTTAATTCTCTGAATAGAGAAAGCTTGTTCTATTTATATGAAAATGTTCAATAGCGCTAAACTTTCACAAAGGTTTGGCGAATTTTTCAATACAAGGTTTTGTTTTTCAATACAAGGTTTCAATACAAGGTCGTTTTTATACTGCAAATATTCAGTCATAGTTTTTCAAAAGTGTCTGTCCCAATTAGAAAAAATGGCCAATTGTTTGTTGCTCTACTTAATAGAGGAAATGCTGCTTTATCTGTAGGATAGCTTGCGAATTTGGGCACAATTTAGTACAGTTTTTGGCAGTTCACAACATTGACGAGCGTTTCTTGAAGAAATTATTCCGTCACCTTTCTTTTAATTCGTCAAGTTAAATTGGAGGCTTATAGAAGGACTTAAACTAAATCCTTTTAATATAGAAAAGATTGCCCTATTTGTGTCAAAATTTTAAAAATCGTCAAATTTTCCATAAAGTTTTGAGGAATTTTGAGTATGAGATTGGCTATAGTTTCGATACTGTAAAGATTGTGTAATAATTTCTTTAAATATTTTTCTGCCAAAAACAAACGCATTTCACGAGATGATATTTAGTCTACTTAATAGAAGAAAAGTTGCTGTATTTTTGAGCCAATCAGAAAAATTGCGAAACGTTTACAAAATATTTCGCAAATCTTTGAATCCGAGAGAAACTGCCTTATTTATACTGGACATATTGTGCCACAATTTGTTTAAATATTTTTGAACCAAAATTACAATTACCGATGGTGATCGTTTTGACACTATTCAATAGAAAAAAGTTACTCTGTATGTAGAATTTGGAAAATTCACGAAACATTTAAAAACGTCTTGACGAATTTTCGAATACGAGACTGATTATCGTTCTTTATAGAAAATGTTCCTACCCAGTTCTTTTTAAATTCGTSAAGCAAAATTGAAAAMTCAGTTGCGCTAAAGTTTCACAAATTATTTTTTTCAAATCAAGAGTGACTGCCGTTTTTATGCCGGAAATATTAAGTGATAGTATTTTAGAAGTACGAAGAGTGTGTGGCGAAATTGGAAAAATGATCAATTAGTTGTTACTCTACTTAATAGAGAAAATATTGCTCTATCTGTTGGATAGGTTACAAATTTTGGGGAAAAGTTAGTAACGTTTTGGAAATTTTTTGAAGACAACATTAACGAGCGTTTTTTGAAATAATATTGGGTCACCCTTTTCCTTTGAATTCGCCAAGAAAAATTGGAGACATAGAAATTTAGAATTTTGGATTTGGAATGGAAATTTGCCAATTCGTGAAACATGAAGGAAAATTTTCAACACAGTACTAAGTGATGACTCTCTAGCGCTTTCTTCCATACTCGAATTCAACTTTGGCACATTTAAACAGCTATTGGGTACCTTGTATGTATTTCAGTCTCCGTAGCTTGGACGTATCCATTTTTATCACCAGTTTGAATTGGAAAGACGTACTTAGCAGCCGTTAGTTTACTATCTAGCGACTGTAACTCAGTGGCTTCTGATATTACAGTTAATTGACGCTCAGAGTATGCGGAGTTGCGGTTCGATTTCTTCGGGCTTGCTTCAGGCGAGGTGTCTGGAACATTAAGGATTCCATTAGCTAAACTGGTTCCGAACTTTCCAACTATCCAGCACCCACCGGTCGATTCGCCAATATTAAAATTTACTTCGGCGTGCGGTTCGGGATCACTGGCTTCCAGTTTGATCTTCTTTCGTTGCCACGGTACTACAACCAGCCAAATAACTAACATTGAAACAATAGCGGCTGATACGCTAATGGCAGCGTCCAGCCACAGCGGGATATTGTCCATGTGGAGCAACTTGGGACCGTCCAGGACAATGGAGAAGACGTTGATGAAGATGGTGAAGCTGTAGAACAAGGGCAGAGCAGTCAGGCCCGCCTCCAAAGGATCCGGTTTGCGCAAGATGCAGGTTCTGATGATCCAGAGCAGTATCACTGAACAGGTGCCGCTGAGCAGTGGGGAGATGAACCATGAAGCGACTGAAACAAGACCATCAGCCGCCGGATGTAACAGGAAAAGCTGCAGGGCTTACTGATTTTTGCCAGCGTAGGCCATTGGACGCCTTGGACTCCCCTGGCAACCAGGCTGTAACCAACGGTGGCGCCTACTATGCTGTGGGTTCCGGAAATGGGCAGCTTGAAGAACGTGGCCACCATCAACCAGGCGGCGCTGGATGCTAGAGCAGACACTGAACCCATCATCAGTTCCATCTCTGAGTCCTGGTAAACGTTGATGTCCAGGATGCCTTTTCGCATGGTGTCCGACACTTTGTATCCTGAAGGGTTTGGGTGGGTAAGTGCGCCTAAGTTAAAGGTCGTCTGATGGACTTACCGATAAGAACAGCTCCAGCGATTTCGAAGAATGTGGCCAACCAGCAGGCCTGGACGATGGTAAGCACTTTGGATCCGACGCTGGTTCCGAACGAGTTGGCCACATCGTTCGCTCCGATTCCAAACGCCAAAATGAATGCGATGATAAAACCCAAAATGATAAGCCATAATAAACTGGGCGAATATGGTTCCAACATATTTTTCTTAATCAAAACGAACTAAAAGGAGTGGCGTTGTTGCTGAGTTTTATAATTGGTGAAGTTCCATTTCTGGAAATCTGCAAATTGACAACATTTCAGCTGGACTTTTGTCGCTCGGAGTCGGGAAGTTGTGTTTTAGAAAATCAAATGTTGTCCTAGCAAAGTCGCGCTGCCAATCACTTCATTAAAACCCTCCCTGGATTTAATTAAAACTCCCATTCTCTTAGGTTTCCGCTTCCTCAGAACACAAACACCATTATTTTCGCGGTTTTCCGGCTTTCGGGTGCAATTAATCGAATTTATATTGGGAAATATGTGAGGGAAATCGCACGCGATTGAATAACAACTCCTGCACTGTTGTGATATAATATTATCATACTATAGTTATTGTTTAATCTAGTTATTGTTGATATCAGCGGCATTGGGGAATCAATGCCGCTTGACATGATGTCAACGTTGACCCACTAAATAAATTGTACTGTTGCATCTGCTAAAAGACGAAAATGAAATAGAGAACAAATTCAGTAATCCATCGAAGACGTTGTTTCAGTTTGCCCGATATCATCCCCTACCAGAAATGTTTCGTCCGAAGCAATTTTGCCTAATTAAACCCGGTTAATGAGGTCAGCGTTTGCCGGTATTACTCAAAAAAATGTTCTCTTTTGCTTTTTTAAGCTGTTCATGCATCTAAGTGCGGCTCTATTGGCACGGTTTCGATGTCGTAATTTTGATTATAGTGTGAAAGCAATTTTCCTGGAAAAATAATCCACTACGTGCTTAAAATATGATTTCTATTAATAGTTTCCGTTAGAAATTGAACCTTTTCAACAGTTAGATACATGTTATAGAACGCAATTTGGGTGGAATCGAGAAGTTTCAAACAGTGTCAAAAAACGACCCAAATCGAACGAAATAGTGAGGATTTTCAAAACAAATTGATTGGAAACTTTCTGATAAAATACTGCTGCAGAAATTTTAGGATTGACCCGAAATTTAGTTGATTGTTGGCGAATTTTCAACCGCAAAACTTGCTTTCAAAAATGTTGTTGTGTCATAATATTTTGAAAAATTCTTCTTGCAAAATCGTATGTCCCCAGCACGTTGGTATTAACCCCAATTAATAGAGAACATTTTGGTTTACATGTGCTAAAATTTGCACATCTGCCGATATTTTTGTTATTTTTTAGCCCAGAGCTAAAAAGCAATTCTTTCACAAATTCGCCAAGCAAAAGCAACAAAAAACAAATAAAATCTGTATTCACTCCACTAAGCAGATGAAAGATTGACCTAGTCGTATGGTAAGTTTTAACAGCATGTTTCAATAATTTGTGGCGAATTTTTCAATACGAGCTTTTTTCTATGCATGAAATTTTAAAAAATCACAACTTTTTAAAAATTTGCGCACTAAATTTGGAAACCCACATCAAGCTGCTCTAAAGCGCATTTAATAGCAACAATCCTCCTCTATGCATTTCGTAATTTACTAATTTGCTGATATTTTCCTGAATTTTTCAAATTTTTTTGGATATGAAACTAACCAACGGTAGTCGGCCGACTCCCTGATGTAAACACCATTTCTTTCAAAAATTTGTTAGGAAAATACGAATAAGCACATCTAATAAACATTTAGTCAATAGGAAAAATAGTAGTGCTCTATGTGTGTTGCCATTTCCAATTTCACAAAAACCATTTTTTTATGAAAAAAAATTTTGCCAATATATTAAAATACGAGACTGGGTCATGATTTTTTGAAAATACTTTCTGGCAAAATTAGAAGCACAAATAATATGGCATTTTCTCTAATTAATAGAGCAAATGTTGTTCTATTTGTGTACGGTTTTTCAAATTTGTTGAATTCTTAATTAAAGTTTGGCGAATTTTTGAGTACGAGATTTACTGACTTTTATAGAACAAATTGCCTGTCACGTAATTTTCAAAAACGTGCATACCTTTTTTGGTAATACACACATTTCCAGACAAAAGTCGAAAGATACATGAAATTATCATTTACTTTTGCATTTTAACTACTTAGTAGACAAAATGTGAGTTTATTTGTGTTTTAAATTGCCAGTTTGTTGAATTTTTCATTAACTTTAGGCAAAATTGTTAACACAAGATTGACGGTCGTTTTCTACCCACCAAACTGTAAGTCGCGACTTTTTCAAAAATTCGTAAAATAATTTTGAAAATACGTATTTATGAGATATGTAAGTCGATCTTTAACAAAAGCTTGGCTAGCAATTTTTTCAAAAATTCGCTCAGAAACTGAAAATATCATTGATTTTTACTTCACTTAATGCAAAAGGTTGCTCTATATGTGCAGCAAATGGTTTGAATACAAGTCGGTCATTATTGAATGCTAGGGTTAGGATTTCTTCAATAATTTGTTCAGAGAAAGTAAAAGTGTACATTGGTATTTACTTCACTTTATAGAGAAAATGTTGCCTATATGTGAACCAAGTGGCAAATTTGCGAAAACATTAATTGATTTTTGATGAAGTGCTAAATACAAGTCGGTCTTTAGTAAAAGTTTGAGTATGATTTTTCCAAAAATTCGCTTAAAGAAACTGAAAGTAAAAATCGAATTGTTGTTTACTTCACTTTACAAAGAAAATATCTTCACTTCATATGTGAAGCAATTGGCAAATTATCGTAAAAATTTGTTGATTTTTGATGAATTTTTGAATACACCTCTGTGAAAGCTTGGGTTACAATGTTTTCAAAAATTCGCACAGAGAAACTAAAAGTAAAGATCGAATTGTTTCTTACTTAGTTTCATAGAGAAAAGGTGGGTCTATATGTGTAGTTATTGGCAAATTCGCGACAAATTACTTAATTTCTCTCTCTTAATCTTAATTTTTACCGAATTTTTTTTACACACGACTGATTAATTTTGATAGGTAAAATTATATATCTTCACTTTCAAAAAATTAATCGACAAAAGTTGGAAGCACCCAGCAAGTTTCTATTAAAGGCATTTTATGGAGAAGGGTTTATTCCTTTAGTGGACTAAATTGCAAGTACACTTTCAGGTAAAGTTTGGCGAATTTTTGAACCCGAGAAAAGTCGCGAGTCCAAACTGGAAACACTCACTTAGTCAACTAATATTAATGCCATTTAATAGAGAAGAGCTTGCAAAATTTTCGCAAATTTTTGGACACCAGCCGGACACATTTCATTTTAGCTAAAAACATGGCTACAAGCTTTTCAAATAGCGATCAAGTGCAATTGCAGAATAGGGAGCCAAAGGTGATGGTGCAAGCAAGTGAAGTTGCGATTTTACCTGTGCAATTCTTGAAACGATTCGAGGATTTATCGATCGCACACCAACATTGGTTAAAACACTTCGAATCCCGCTCTCAAAGCAGCATTCCGAACTTGAGGAATTCTTTGCCAAATGATAACGCAGCAAATTAAACAGGAAAAATCTACATATCGATTTCGCGTGTTGAATCTTTTTTCCCACGTGCCATCGAGCCAATCCTCGCTCCCTTTTCCACATTGTTTCGAATGGTCACTTCGATAATCTACTCGGTCGAAGTTGGCATGCAAAATCGCGCCTTTCTACATAGCAGCTTCTACGCTATTCTATACGGATGCAAATTTTTATAGCAAATCTAATCGGATATTTACGTTTCCAATTTCGAAGACCTCTTAAACGCCGTCATAGCTACTTGACGCCATTCCCACAGGATCAAAGGACCCCGTCGTACAGCTGTCCCGACGCCGGCAAAGAAAATTGGCGCATGTGCGCCAATGTAATTTATATCTGCAATCAATTGGTTTTTTCCTGTTCTTATTCCATTTCCTATTGCCTGGATATTCGCCAATAAAAGTCTAAGATTGTGATTTCTTTCTTTGATGTATATTCGGTTTTTTTTCAAGTTTTTCATTAGAAAAAATGCTCCAAAAAGTACTTCAAACATGAATAGCAAATAAGTTAAGAAATCAAGCCCAATTTGCCATTTTAATCTAGTTACAAGTCACTCCAATACGCATGTCACTTAAGAACATCGGTTATTTGTTTAATAGTAACAAGGAGAGAGCCCGTTGCTCCTGCTAATATTCAAACAAATCCAGAATTTCCCATTTTTCTGCCGATATTTGCAGATTTTCTTGAAATTCGAGTTTCCAGTGACCATTTAGTGGTATTTTCCCGGCGGGAAGTGCGATTTTTCAGAGATATACGCGGTTTTTCAAATAGGAAAAATTCTGACGTTTGCTGTCATGTGGTCGATATGGTTAACAATCGCAAACGAATATTTTTGTGCGCGTATTTACAGTTCTTCGCATATTTTGGACATTTCTTCAGAGTCTTGTGGGTTTTGCTGCTATGGGAATGGACCATCTGGATACAGAAATGCACAACAACTGGCGCACTACAGGTATTATTCGCCAATCAAATGAAATGAATGCAGACTTAATCCAAAGCGCATCCACGAACGAGAAATACGAGGGTTTTTTGCATTAAAAATTTTCGTCAACAGATTCCAAGGTGGGCACCATTAACTCTCTCACAATGAATGAATTCTTAAGTAAAATGCCACTTAAAAATTTGGGCAAAACTGCATTTTTGTAGCTTTTCATCCAGTAATGTCAACAGAAAACCGTCCTAACTAGTCCAGTGTCTTGAAACCTACTGATAATTTAGATAGTTTAGTGAGCCATTATTTCTATTACTCTATTTCTCCTTATTATTAAAGCAAACCGTGAAAACCATTAATGCATTCAGAGAAACTAAAATTTGTATTGGAGTGTATTGTCAGTTGCCTAGCAGGAACTTGTCTTTATGTATGGAACGACTGTTCCGATCGACAGACAGAAGTCGATGATCTTAATAATTACCAAAATGGCAATAAAAACATAAAAGAAAACCAGTTTCTAAATGTTATCAACTAAATCACGATTGTAGGGGGTCGTAAATATTTACTCTTGCGTCTTTCAGCATCGCATTTGTCACTTAGATCGACAGTTTTGACAGTGAGCATCAAAATCAGCTGTGAAATTAACAATTTCACAAGAATATTAGTAAAAGTAAAAGTTGTGTGCTTTAAAAAGAAAGTGCTAACTGGTAACCAGGAAGTAAGTGCAGAAAACCAATCTCTAAAGAGTTTGCTCTTCATTTTCACTGTTTTCTAGTCATGGATCCGATCGATCTGTTGGAGAAACGAATCGAAGCACTCGAATTGCAAGTGTTACCGAAGGAAAAGTCCTCACTAGAAAGCAAGTTCCAAGGTATTACTGATATCCTATTGCAAACCCAAACCATGATTTCTTCGGCGTTGAGCTGTCGAGATGCCATTACCTCAATTCTGCGACATATTCAAACAGTAAATGAATACTTGGATCCTTGTTATGGGGAAAACGACTTGGAGGTGGAGGCCAAACGGCATTATCTACTTGAATTGTATCCTGAAGTAAGTACAGACAGCCAGACCAAGTATCCAGATGTGGTCTGGATCCTTGGTCAAGACCGGCACTTTTTGAGTTGTTGTTCAAGGTGGTTAACACCTAATAAAACATCAAAAATTCACTCGGATTCAAGTAAGGCCGTCACAGGCCTTCAAGCAGCCTCTCTCTAAATTCAGTTAAATTACTTTCGATTCTCTGTTTTCTCCAGCTGGGTCCTTCTTAGTTAAAACGACTTACTCCTGCTGTGTTTTTTTTTTTAGTTAAAAGACACTGTCCAGTTTATCGGAACTTTTCAAAACCTGCTCCCCTATACCAACTCTGAGAACATCATGAAAGTGACGGAACTTTCGGATAAGCTCGAACATCTCACCGCTGCCAATCTTGTGATCTACGAAGAGAGTCGCGAAGTGACTCAAAACGTCCTCAAACTCTTGCAACAGTACAATGACATTACCAGTTCGATAAAAGTGCTGTTCCTGCAGCTGGATCGAGCAGTCAACGATTGCGATGCCGCTCTACAGCCCAAGTTTGTTACGGAAGAGTAACATGAAGCAGCAGTTTGTGTATCAACATGCATATACGAAAACATCCAATAAACTAATTTTATTTAAGGAATTTACTTAAAAGTAATGGTTATTGCAATAAATGTTTTTTTATTTTATTTATTGGCTACTTCAGGCGTCTTGTTTTTTAAATACATTAATATTTATGACTGTTTTGAAAATAAAAATGTATTTCACTTGAATTTGGCCTTAATATTTATACCGTTGATATTCCCTATTTCATTTAAATAAGGCAATAAGTAAGCAGACAACTTGAAAAAAATTGTTTGCTGTTTTGTCATAGTAAAGCGGTTAACGGATGAGTCATTTACTGTCGATGAGTAGAACTTGTGAGAACGTGTTTGCGAGAGCATCTCGATTGCGTATTTAAAACAAATTTGTCGTGCCTTTTATGTGAACATTTCTTTAATTGCAAGTAGTAGAAGTGAAGAACATTTGTTTTTGAACAACACATTTGCGCGTGAGTGAGTTGATATTCGACGGATTGCCGACTACTCGTTACCTGTTTTCTATACGGAATAATTAAGTGAATCAAAGCGTGATTGGTGTTGAAGAAAACACAAGTACTACGTTAATTAATTTTATTCGTTTATTTACCTTAAGTTTAATACAGTTACTAATAGAAGTATAAAAGTTGCAAATATATACACGGTATTATGGTGAAAAAAAAAACAACTCCCATTGTATTTGCACATTGGCACGCGATGCTTGACTAGCAACATGTTGGGACGGGCTTTCTTAGCATTTAATTAAGTGTTATAACAATAGAATTGCTAACTTTTAGTCTTAAACTATCAAGGAATAGATAACAACTTATAAATATACAATATTTACAGGAATTATGAGGGATTATCGCCAACTTAGAAACTTCTAGTTTCTGTTGTTGAGTTGCTAAGCGGTCCGCATTGGTAATCTTAGTCGTAAGAGTAGCTGTGTGGGTTTACATGGTTTCAATAAAAGGGTAAATTAAGCAAACATTTTTGTTTTCCATCTTGAGTCTCAGTTTAGATTTCTACGAAATCTACAGTTGAAAAATTAATTTATAAATAGTCAACTCAGCTACTAAACGTTTTTTTGTTAAATACTAAATAAAATATAAAATTTGGAATGTTTAAAAATGTTTTATGTATTTATGTATTTTTTTAACATTATAGATGATACCTACAACTCTACCTGATATTTGAGCGTTTTCATATTAGGTGAAAAAACAGTGTTTAAGCTTCAGTTTGGTGGCAGACGCAGAAAAACTTAAAACTGTACATTTTTGGCTGCCGCATTGAGCTAAAAACCGAATCCATTCAATGCTCAATTTACCAAATTGCTAAATATTTTACAGTCTATACAAGTAGTATGTTAATTAATCACAGCTCTCGGAGGGGCCTTCAATCGTATCACGTCGTTTCGTTCAGGGCCTCTCCAATGGTACTGGTAATCCATCTTCTGAGCTTCAAGTTCAGTGCTGAGTAGACGGCCGGGTGTTTGCTGATGCCGCAATTCTCGTGATGGCTCAGAACGCCTTGCAATTCCCATCGGTTCTCTTTTTCAGAGAAGCACATCAAGGGCGCTCCTTCATCGTTCTGAAATAAACATAGTTTTTATTTGTAATTAATAATAATTATATTTTCAAGCGCAAATAAGCAATAAGTTAATTTTTGACGAAATGGAAGATACATTTTCGACATTTGATTAACAGAAAATTCACAACTTACGTAACAGGGAGATTTTTCTGAGTCAGTATATCCAGCGCAAATCTTATCGGAATTCATCAATCCGTTGTAGTGTTTAGTCGAGTTGCATTCGGAATTCTCAATGATAGGAACTGGCAAGTAGTGGAGGTATTGCTCCTTATCGGGATCTAAAAAAGAGTTTGAACTCTGGAAGTGAACAGATTTCCTTGCTTACCGCCAGGCTTGTTAATGCCCCATCCAGATAAAACACACAACTGTCTCGGTTCAATGTCGTGGCTTGGTAAGCAAACGGTGCTCACGTTTCTACCTAAAATGAATGGCTTCGAAAGCTGGACGAGCACCAAATCGTTGATGAATTCATAATGGGAGAATTTGGCCTGGAAAACAATCATTAGTTGTAGTTGATTCAATGCAAATGTTACTCCTTCTCACCTGAGGGTGAGGAATTATTTCCTTGACAAGGCCAACTTGCGTGCTGGAATTGTCGACTGAGTTGAAGAAATTTGTGCTGCCCGCATATAAAACCCACTCTTTGCCATCGGGAATCGAATTGTCTTTGGACGCCACACAGGAGTAGCTGGCAATGGCCCACATGGGCGCAATAAGCGTGGACGTGCATTGAATGTTTCGTTTCTTGTCGTAGAGCAAAGTGAGGCTCGGCCATTGCGTTGCTGCCGCCTTATTGCCTCCGATTATTCGGGCTTGCGGCACACGTTCTTCATTGTTGCTTCCACAAGCTAAAATCGCAAAAAACCTCAATAAAACTGTCTTCGAATATTTCCTAGCTCGGTTACTTACAGAACTCTTGGCATTGAAGAGAGGCGATTTTACTGCAACTGGCATTCTCCACTCGGGTGAACTGGGATAACAAAGGGGCGACATGCCCTTTCACATCTAGAGTATAAAACGCCGCAAACTGGAGATCGACTGGTTTTTCCACAGTTTTCAGTTGGATAGAGTCGGAAAATCCAAGGCTTTGACAAGCCATTGTGGCGTAGGTTCCATTCCACTCATTGTCGTCTAGGCAAATTGGCGAGAAGGTGTTGTTTTCAAATTGAACCTAAAATTTCCAATGTGTAAAAACTGCAAATTGTCTCCCCTCGAAACAAACCTTACCTGTAGTATATTATCAACATCTCCAATTCGGCTCAAAGCCAGACACTGCCATTCATCTGATCGGTCAGCACACTGAGGAATTCCATCGCATCTTAGATTCTGGTCGATGCATCCTCCACCTGTTTGGCACTTAAATTGCTCGCTGTTGCATTCTGGAAAACAACCCCAATCACACCCTTGATGGCTGAAATCACATCAGTCTCCTACCGCAAAGCTTCTCGTCCTCTCCATTGCCGCAATCCGCTTTTCCATCGCATCTCCAGCTTTCTGGAATACAGGAATCCTGCTCACTGCAATGGAACGAGTTGTTCTGACACTGAGTCATGTGGCAAGTTTGCTCGTCTGATCCATCTGAGCACTGAGTTCGCCCGTCACATTTCCAGGATAGTGGCAAGCAGCGCTTTCCTTCCTTGCAAACAAACTCGTCAAAGTTACACGTCCAACTCTCTGAAACAAATTGGAAGTTACTTCTGAGGCTCCAGCTGAGTGCGTTTCCGACCTACCACATCCTGATTCGTCGCTACTGTCGTTGCAATTCACTATTCCATCACACACCAAGTGCCTCTTCAAGCACTGGCCGCTTGCACACTGAAACCCATCATTATTTGCCATATGATTCAAAAACATAAAATTCAAAGTGTCTTTTACCTGGAAATTGTTTGGGCATCGTTCTTCAATGCATCCGAGTTCATCAGAGCCATCGCTGCAATCCATCACTGAATCGCATCGATCATTAGCCGGGATACAGTAGCTGCCATCCTTAATTGCCGTTCCGTTAATGCACTGGAATTGCCCGGTTGAACACCTGAAATCGACAGTCCAGAATGTCCTCCAAACGTTATATTAAATTAAACAAACCTGGCGAAGCTGAATATGGAAAAATCTTCGGTAACCGGCTTGATTTCGTTGGGGGAAGCAGAAGTGCTGTTCAACTCCTCGGGCTCCGATTGGATGATGGTTTCATTTGAAGCTGAATCTAGTTGCTCTTTGAGGTTTGGATTAAATAGGTCTTTGCTATCGATTTTCTCATAAGTAGGGGAACTTTTCTCGATCTCGTTTCTTTCGCTGCTCATTTCTGGCAGAGGCCGGAACTTATCCATAACGCTTTGGTCTTCAGCGGAAATGCTGTTGAAGCTTTCCAGAGGCGCCACCGATAAGTCTTCATCGGACTCGATTGGTTCAACTGGGCCAATAGGGGTAGGCCTGGGCGTGACAAAGAGTGTTTCTGTTGTTGTCACATCTGCAACTGAAAATTCTCGCACTTTGTATTCGTCCTGCATATCTGTTGAGCTGTTTACATCAGCTTCTATGGTTGTCTCATTCACTGCGCCCATTACTGGTTCAGTGATATTATTGATAACTGCGGGAACCGTAGCTTCTATGTTTGTTTCGGTGCTGTTTAGCACAGAATTTTCCATTGCTTCTTTAATAGTTTCAGTGCTGTTATTCATCGGTACATCCATAACTTCTTTAGGAGTTTCACTAGCGTTGCTAACAGCCGCAGTTTCCATCACGTCCATGTTTGCTTCTGTGCTGGTTCCCATAGGAACTTCTGTACTTTCCTGAATAGCTTCAGTGCCGCTATTCAGAAGAACTTCCATTGTTTCCTTAATGGTATCAGCGGCTTTGTCAACAGCAGCAGATTTCATGGATTCCATGTTTCCCTCTGTGCTGTTATTCATAGCAAGTTCCATATTTCCTTCAGTGCTATTGTTGGTAGCAGCTTCTATAGACGACAGTGCGATCGTATCTTCCCTAATGGTTTCATTCATAGATTCTTTTGGGCTTGCTGAAGTTGTTGTAGTGTCTTGATGCATGGTGGTTAAGTCATCTCCTGCCATATTATTGGTAGTGGTCTCCATTGCCACCAAGTCTTCAGTGCTGCTTTGGGGTTCAATGGCGTTTGAGGTGTTGGCAGCTGATACAGCAATCATTGTGGATGAAATTTCTTCTTCAGTGGTTGTGGCTTCAGTGGTAATTTTTGGCGAAGAAGAAGCGGTGGGCATTGTGGTGGTGATTGCGGGTTCAACTGCAATGGCAGCTTTATCTTCTCTGAGATCCTTTTCAAAGAAGCTGTTGCTGTGCACGTTATTGAAAACCTCCGGAGGCAGAGTCATGTTTTCTTCATCCGCAGGCTGATTTTCGTCCAGACTTCCTACCAAAATGGACGGGGCAGTGGTGCTACTTCCATTTTCCATTTTCACTGTTGTCTCATCTTGAGCTGTTTCTACAGCAGGATGATGGACTTCTTCACTAATTTCATTGTCTTCGTTTGTTAAAGGAATTACGCCCAATGCAGTGGTGTCGGTTGGGTTGGGGTCAAATGGATTGGTATGGTTCAGTTGATCATTCTCCAAACTGCCAGGCTTAGTTTCGTTGGCGTCAGTTTCATTTAGCACGAAATGGTGCCTGAGTAGGTGCTCATGCTCATTTTCAATTTCCGGTAAAAATGGCGACATGTTGTGCTCGATCATGGCCTGTTCCGTTTGATATTGTTGATGAGTCTGATTCATTGCATGCTCGTTTTCACCCAGCGATGATGTGGTGCTGCTGGTGGATTGGTCGCTCATTGAGGCTTGATTCAGTTGGAAATCTTCATTTGTGGGATGATTGATGGCTTCAACAAGTGACGAAATATTTGATGGTTCTGTGGTGGTGCTTGCAGTCATTGAAGATTCAAACATGTGTTCTTTGGGATGGTCTGTGGAGCTTTCAGTAAAGGAGGAAGAATTTAAGGACTGCGATTTGGAAATGTCTGTATTGAGCTCCAGGCTCTCTTGATGGGTCATTTCCGTGGACTCCCCAACTAAGGAGGAAGAGTTAGAAGATTCTGTAGCAGTAGCTGAAGGCATGGCAAGGTCTTGGTGGAATTCTTGGATTTGTTGGTGAGGCATTTTTGTGGATTCTTCGACCAAAGAGTTGGAAGATGGCGTAGTAGTAATGTTGAGGAGGACTTCGTGGTGGGGTATCTCGGTGAAAGGTTCAGAGGAGGAAGAAGGGTTTGAAGATTCCGAAGTAGTACTTGTGGCCTGTTCCAAAACTCCTGCCTGGTTGAACTCCGGAACTTTGTTATAGTGCTGAGGCAGATCGGTTTGAAGTTCTTCAGTTGCAACATTCGTTCTTTCTTCTTCTACCGCATTGACTGCTGGCGATGTCGCAGTGTCTGGCATTGTGGTAGTAAAAACTTCCGCTTCTGGAATCACCACTTTTATTATTCCTGCTTGATTGAGTTTTTCGTCAGACAGCCAGCGCATGGTAGTAGTTTCAATAGCAGGTTCCTTACTAGTGGCTTCTGAAGCGGCAACAACAACAGGAATAAAATGCTTCAAATTGTTTTCCAGCTTTCTGTCATCTGGTACCCGAGAGGGTTCTTCCACAGTCCGTTCAGTGCTCGGGTCCAAGTATGTGGCATCTTCATTCACAAAGTGATAGTCATCATCGTGATGTTCCAGATCCTCAATTTCCGTGTGGAAGTCTGGTACAAAATTACCATGGGTGGAGTCTTCCGCCAGTATTTCATGGCCCCTCATTATGTGTCTCAGCTCCGTTTGCAAAATCGGCTTTTCAGTTACATGAGTGCTGGAAATTTCAGTAACTGATTGAAAATCCATATCCCGTTTGGTGGTACTTTCGTGGATGGGAACCACTGGAATAATGTGCGGATATTGATCGTTGCTTGGTTGCTCACGTCCAAAGTCTACGTCGTTTGGCTCAGCGTCAACATTTGTATCCAAGGTGGACTCAGTTTTGCTGCTCTGAAGCTCTGGCTCATGTGCTGAGATCGCCTCGTCGGTTTGGTCTTCAACCTGAACAAACACCGGCACATGGTGAACGGAATTTTCATTGGATGACTCATTTTTTCGTTCCTCAGTTGCCATTTCTGAGGTGTGCTCAAGGGTCGGTTCCGGTTCAGCTGAGGGTTCCGATTTGGGTTCAGGTTCAGCATGCGAGATTGGTTCAAGATTAGAATTAGGCTCCGCTTCAGGTTCGGCAGTTGATTCAGGCTCAGGTTTAGGTTCCGCGGCTGGTTCAGGATCGGCATTAGGCTCAGGTTGCGGTTCTGCAGCCGGTTTAGGTTCAGAAGTTGGTTCAGGCACTGAAGCTGGTTCTGCCACAGGTTCAGGTTCAGCAGAAGGTTCAGGTTCCGCTGACGGTTCAGGTTCTGGTTCGGCAGACGGTTGGGGTTCAGCAGATGGTTGTTGTTCTGCGGATGGTTCTGGTTCTGAAGATGGTTCCGGTTCTGAGGAAGGTTCTGGTTGTGAAGCAGCCTCAGGTGCAGCTGAAGGATGGTAGTGGAATATTGCTGGTTCTGGTGCTATTGGAGGAAAAACTGAAAGTTTAGAAAATGATGCATTTATTCTGGGCATTTTACTCCTTACTAGTTGTTTGTGCGGGAGCTCCAAAGCTATTCGGTTCCGGGCTGGGTTCCGCTGTTGCAGGAATTTCCTCACATTTCTTTCCATCAGCTGCCAGCATCATTCCTTTTGGACATGTGCACATGAAATCCAGGCGATTCCTGTAGTCAAATTCACATAAATGCTCGCAACCGTTGTTCTGAACTTGGCAGAGATCGGTGATTTTCTGGGCGTTGATCGGACGGTTAGCTATGTGGTAGGAATCGATTAGGCCCTGGTTTCGCTGCAGGATGTTGTCGATTTTGCGCTGCAGCAATTCGGTAGTCATCGGATCCTTTGCATTGTGGATGCCCTCTTTGAAGCGCCATGCAATGCGGTATTTAGCCACCACGCTCCCTGATCTGGAAATCTTTCTGTTAGGAGACGCTGTTAAGGTTTTCTGGGTACTTACAGAAACTCTATTATTTTCACCTCGATGTCTGCAGAGCCGTACTTGAGCATATCGCTGGGGAAGAGAGTGTTCTTCAAAGTCTCCTCCAGATTGGCTGCCAACCTTTGATACTCTGAGCTGTTTTTGTTTGCAAGTTCCTGAGTGAATTCCATGTTGTCAATGACGATTTCCGATTCCAAAGCTCTGGGCACTGGATATAGAATGGAAAATTAGCAGAATGGAAAACGGAGGTTTGATTGGTGGTACCATGAATCATTGAAGTGTCCGTTGTAGGTAATAGGCTGGAAACGGTACTCAAGGGCGGTCCAGGCGAACTGGATGGATTGGCGATGGACTGTTGATCGGAGCCTGCGAATACAGCAGCGCCTTTCACTTGCGCCTCATTTCCATTGAAATGTCTTGCGGTTATTTCCTTTGGTGTCATTGGTCCTTGATTTCCGATTACTCCCACTAAGCAACGGGAAGGATTTGGATTAAAACAGGCCAAAGTGTTACAGCTGGGTTTTGTATTTGTATTGAAATTCTGTAGAATCACCCTGTATAATTCGACTATAGCTAGCTAATGGTTTTTAATGAGGTGACTAATTTTCACTCTTAAGTTTCACGGTTATAAAAAACGATTGGACGACCTTGCTGTTACTTTTGTCGAGCCAGCTGTGATTCATTGAAATCCGGTCAAGAAGTGTCACAACTTGGTGCAAAGAGTGAAGAAAATTCTTTTGCGCGGTTTTGCTTGACTACTGCAGATCTTTCATGTGCAACTTGATTGGCGTGGACGCGTTAACCTTCAAAGAAAATTATTTTATTGAATAAAATTCATTAAGAGTTGCCGGAAAGGCCCAATAAATTAAGTTTCCTGGTTGGCCAAAGACATTCGAACATCTGTCCGGATCAGGCGCACCAATTACGCAATAAATCCAATTTTCCCGGTGATTTTTAAGCAGCAGCCTACCTAGATATATGTTGTTATTAATAGGCCTGTTATCCTTGAGCAGGACAAAAATGCCACTTTTAACGGTTGAGGCCCAGTGGTGTTCGTTCCTTTCGCAATATATTGTCCTGCCACATTCCAATGACAGCAACAGCAGCAATAACAGTATCACTTTTTACATAATGTGTTACCTATGCGGTGCTAAACGGCTTGTTGATTTCGTTTACATGCAGATAAAATGCGATTTTGTTCGACTAATGGTTTGGAATGTATGAATAATTCGTTCGCATCGAATATGTCGAGATTTTATTCAACTCGGCCTACTCAAGAAGTATGTGGGTCGTGAGGTTGAATTTTTTCGATTTAAGTCCATTAACGCAATACTGTTCAGATTCGTGGTGCAAATTCATTGGTTTCAAACTGGGTTTCTATGGGAACGCGCTTGTTTATGCTCGGCTATTGGCTGGAAATGCGCGCCGCCCTTAAACTTATCGCAGCGAAAACATTCGAACGCCATTTGCGCCATGAGCGTTCTTTGCAATAACTATGCAGGCTGGATAGTGACTTACCAGCTGCTAAAATGCCAATAATCAAAGCGGCTGCCACAATGCATAAACAAACAGTCCAACATAGGCATTTGTTTCTGCTCTTTTTGCTCCTTTTGTCCATGGTTACGTAGAGTTTTTCGCCTCTGGAAAATAAAAAAATTACTTTAGGACTTGCTGAGATATTTTGGGCGGTGCAAGCAAGTGCAGAATAGCTCTGGAAAGCGCAAATTGTACATAATTTTTCTGAAAAACACCTTCAAACACCCGCTATATTGAAATCGCCGTTTAAATTTTTTTGGTTGTTTCAATAAATAATTATCTCTTCTCTTGTAGCTCTATATAAAGCGGCGCGTGTGTCTTAAGTGCAACAATTAGTAGCAGTGTTTCTCAATAAATTGCTTAATTTACTTTGTTACTGCCAGCATTGTCCAATTCAATTAACCGAAATTATCAACTAATTACTGTTTTCAACACCTCGAGCTGGCATCTCTCCGAGGTAGGACTCGGTCAATCAATCAATCAACAATTGATGATCAAAAATGTGTCATAACTCATCAATTTCGATTGCAATTTAATACAAATTCAAATACCATAACCCAGCACCATCACCCGATCATAACCACCACACACCAGAATATTCCCATGAACTTTTACCACAAGGTTCTTGGTACAGGATGTTATCTTAATTATGGTAGAATGGCAACTTTGAATAATAGTTATTTACACAATTATTATTTCGAATGTAATTGTTGTAACCTCCTAACAGTTTGGTCTACAAATGAAAAAAAAGTATGGGCATTTTTGTTCTTGCGATTGTGTGATCGAGAATAGTTTCCAACATTTCTTTTTATATTTTGTGCACAAAATTCGAAGCGCTATTAGCTTGGTTTTCAACTTGTAGACCATATAAGGGAAAAAATCACTAGAGTATGGTGTATATGTGGCATATGAAAGCATGACGGTACCGTGTTGATTGGTTCATCCATCGAGGATACTGAACGGAATCGTCGTCATTGGCCAGATTGCTCTCTTCGCCGGCCGCAATGATTTCAGCGAATGTTACGCTGTTACGGCCTTTACGGGCGTTACTAGAGGGAGGAAAATATTGTTAGTGCTTAATAAGTAGATGGTGCGGTTACATAGATTCTAATTGAGAACCATTACTATAAACCACTCTGTATATCCTTCACTGAAGATCTTTGAAACTTCAAACCCGTGTTGTATGAGCAACTGGATTTGGCTTACGCAATCGACTCCAATTAATCAAAATATTTATTATTACGCGATTAATATGCATTAAATAACCGGTTTAATAATAAAGACACCTTTGCCTGTTATTATTAAATATGCTATCGACACTATAAGCGGGTATGGTAAAATTCAATTGGCGATTATTTTGAAAAAACTAAGCAAACCATCTATGTGGTATGGAACAGGCCGGTGTGCAATTAACATTTTTTATGCCACATCCAATTTAACGCATAAAAATCGCATTATTATAGCACAACGGCTATTAAATAATCTTTGGATTTTCAACTTTATTATTCCATTAAGATTTTTATGAAGATTAACACAGTAGAAAGAAAAGTTGATTGGCTGCAAATACCATGAAGATTAGTTGCATCGTGTGCTTCTTTCCAGTAAAGAGTTGTACTGTTTGGTAAATTTTCTATTTATTTTTTATAAAATTTTACTGCTGTTGCATTGATATAGATTAAACAAAAATAGAAACCATTCACCTTATGCGTTCTTTCATACTTATTTTACTGCTGTTGCATTGATATCTATAGATTTTTTAAACAGAAATCATCTGGTTCCATGTGTTTTTAAACCAGTTCCATTTTTTTGGGTTAATCTTTGCAATAAAACCGACAAGGTTTTGGTGCTAAAAACGCAAATTTTTGAACTTTCAAAAACCATAAAATTCGCATTGTCTCAGTATAGAATCTGTGCATCGATGCAAACCAGTGAAAGGATTGCCAAGCAATACAATGGATGAATAAAACCCAGTTCCACTTTCGCCCTCTTTTTCCTTTCTCTGGTTCGGCTGTTTGTTACCTTGGACCCAATTCAATATTTTCTTATTGTCCAATTCAGATCATGTCATATAAATATACGGGGTGATTAAAGCCACTATTGCCACATTTTTGGCAATCTATAAACTGAATGTGACTAGTTTAGATTAATTCAGAAACAGACATATGATGTGGATGACCTTAGTGGGCAGGAGTAGAGGTTCATTGGGATTTTTCGAATTCGATGCGGTCCCGAAACCTACAAACGCGATTATCAATGAGCGGTTACGAAACGTATTATTTTCTGAATAATAATCGGAATGTTGCAATGGTCAGAAAGGTTGGCTTAACTGTAAAAAAACATTTTTTGTGGAAACTTGGAATGCTAATTTGATTGCAACTGGGACAGTTCCACATCGGTGTTTCGAACAAAGGTTGTTTTTTAAATTTTGTGAGCAACTTTCAAACTGAAATCTCAGTCATGTTTTTTGATAAAACGGCGTTAAGTTTGTTTTCAAGAAATCAACTGAAAAATGCCAAAAAGTTATATGGATTTTGGCACCCTTCGACCAAAGATGACGAAGTAAAAGATTAGAAACTCATTCCTTTTTGAACAAAATATAAATTTTTTGGCTTTTTTCAGTTGATATTTTCAGGAAGAATCAAACATTGATTCCCACATGGGTATTGAATTAGACAGCCTTTAAATTACTGTTGTTGTGTTGAAAGTTACGAAAGTCTGCGATGAAGAAACTTGGCCCATCTTCCGAAACAACCGGCCACATTTTGGTCATTTGCATACTTTCCCTTTTACCAGTTAAATTCGAATGCATTGTCGCAGTTTGTAATTTCGATTTCGATCAGCGTAATCGCACGATACCCACCCATAATAGCCCGATTTGAATATGATTACAAAATGTGCGGTTTCGCGTTTTCCACTCGGATGTTTCGTGTAGCCAAACGTTTATGGAGGCCTCAAATTTCGGGTTATTTGTATAACGTGACCCAGCATTTTTGGCAAATGATCAAACTTGTTTTGAGGGTGTAAACAAATTCAGCTAAAATTCAAATTATTCATGAATCTCTAAAACGCAATCCTATTGGTTGTGACGTCTCTGGTCATATAAATGGCGGATTCTTTACGTTATGTGCATAGTGTGGTTGTTTTTCATTAGTTATTTTGTAAATTTTATTTAAAAAATAAATTTAAAAAACTAAAAAATGGGTTCAGAAAGATTCCTTAAAGCGTCAACACATAATTTACCATGTGTACATATTTTTGTGGTTCCCGAATTTAAAAAAAAACGACGAACGCTTTAATTCAGCCGTATTTAAGGGTGTCAAAGCAGCAGCGTAAGTAAAAATTCGTAAATTCATTATTAGTTACTCTCTCCTTATTATACTAATCTGTATGTATTGGTTTAAATTAGGTAAATAATATATAGAATTTCACTTATTCAACTTAACCTAACCTATACACATGGCTGCTTTAAAAGTAAAATGAACTCTTAAATTTGTAATTTGGGCATCACGAGAACAATATGGTGATATCGGAAATGTGGAATTGAAACGCGAGGGTTCTTTGTGCACTGTAGAAGGTACAATTTGCCCAGAACACAGAGTACGATCGAAGGCATATTCTATCTGCCTCATCATTAGCTTTTTGTTGGTACTTTTATTAAAATGATCCTCGCAACAAAAAAACATTGACTTTGATTTTGGAACATCACGTCTAGCTGCTTTGAACCATAAAACTTGACGTGTATAATAATGGGGAACGGTTAGAAAGAGTTTGTTTGGAGCACTTATTGAGATATTCTTGCATCCTGGCACAAAACACCACTTATTTTGTGATCCATACATGTCACCATTATGCAAGATAATAATAATAATCAATACAATAATGATAATTACAATAACTTAAATAATAAAACGAAGCTGCGAAAACAGCAAAATCAGGATAGGCAACAGACGATACGGATATGGCGTTTTTGGAGGAAAATATCTTATATGAATTTAAATTCGCTTTAAAATTATTATGGAGACGTTTTTTGCACAAAAAATTATATCAGTAGCCATAACTACTTTCTATATATCAACATTTAAAAAAAAGTGAAAACTCTCTATTCCGCTTTGTTTTTTGGACCAATTTGAAGCATTAATGACCATAATAATTGCAATGGCTGCAACTAATCGCCACATGTTTAAACAATGAGCAGATCTGGTGCACTAAAAGTGCATTGCAACACCATTGTCTCCCATGGTGGAAAAATCGTCATTTGCAATTCCCAGGCTGTTTTGCCGAGATAAATGGGTTAAACTATTTCAAACGAAGAATGTTATTAACATAACCGTTGGTCGGTAGGTAGGTAGATGGAATCACGCAACCATTATTACGCCAGATAATACGTTTCTGACTCATTTTGTGGAATTTCGACTATGCTAAATAGGGCCTTTATCGCGTACATGTCGACTAGGTGGGATTCTGAGCAAATCGATCTAATCGCGTTCGTTAAGGAGAGGAATTTACGTTAGTAAAGTGCCGCTCAAGGAAAATAAGCTCAGAAATTGACGAGATACTAATGGACAAAGTCAGTAGTCGAAAGAGTCACCCTGTACACGCATCAGACCTTGAGAGCTTCTTGCCCACTTACCTCATATATTTGCGATGCTCATTAACAGGCACGAAGTATTCATCGTACGGATTTCCCATTTCCGCATCATCTTCCATCTTTATGGGAATTCCGCTGACTCCATTAAAGCCAATCTCGTAAGGTCCAGCCACATCTTTTCCCACTGGCTTCAGGTTGATCAGCTCCAGATTGACGGCTTCTGTTGTTGGTTCTTCGAACTTCTTTAAATCCCCGTTGTATGGTTTCGATTGGTTAAATGTACTTTTCACTGCACATCAACCAAGAAACAACAAATTCCATTACTCAGTTTTGGAATTGCTCCTGCCTCAACTCACCTGCACCATTTCCAAAATGCTCGTCATCATCGAAACCTGGATTTTCGATTCCCGCGTCCTTCTTCACGCTCTGCGGTGATTCGTCGCCATTCAAATAGCTGGTACTCTTGTAGTTTTTGCTCATCTCCTCCAAGTTGCTGTGATTCTCCAAGGTTTGCTTGATATTGAGGTTGACTGTCGACATGTAATGCGGCTCTTTTGGTTTCGATGCACTTTTGAAGTCGGTTTCGTCATAGTGAATGGGCAAGGTGACTTCGTTCTTGTGGTAGTATTGATTAGTGGGCGCCTCTTCAACCGCAGTGGGAATGCTGTGCACGGCCATTGTGGTCACCTCCGGGTGATTGCTGTGAGCCTCAAAGTTTGCGCTGTTTTCGTGAGCTGAGTGCGAGTCTTGAGCGGTATCGCTGCCTCCATAGCTACTGTCAGCGTCCATTGCTGGAAAACACGATTTGATTAGGGAAAATCATTGAATGTTTGCTTCGGGTTGAAATACGAAATTTATTGACTCTCTATACTCTCTCTAAAGTCAACTGAAGTTTTAAGCATAAACTCAATGTTTTAGCCAAGCCATTGAGCCTCTTCAGTTCAATAACAATTAGCCTGTTATCAATATGTTGGGAAAACATCCGTTTATTCATCGCAGCAAAAGCATGAGTAAACGTGACCAAAAGCTAATCTGCTTTTAACATATGTGCGCTAATCCTTTACGAAAATACGTTGGTATCTGAGCGCGAGATCATCGCATTTACCATTAATTAATAACGTAAATGTGGCGGATGGAACCGGAATGTTTTGCTAGTTAAAATTAGTTTCCATTTGGCAGCTTTTGATGTCTTTCTCGGCGGTTTTTCCCGAAAAATCGGCCGCATAAAAATTCATTTCACGAACTGACCGCGCCGGTGCCGTATCCTCGAGCCATCTAATTGTAAAACCAGCTCGTTTACTTTTGAAATTTACATGAAATTACTCGAGAAGAGGAGAGTTACTTGAGATGGCTATCGGACAAAGGTTTTAGCCTAGGCCTTCGTTTTTATTTTATGTTAGGGCAGCGGTGCGTTACCTTAAGGAACTGCAGCGGGTGGCTTTCGGTTTGATATACGATACTGATTATTTTATTTCTTGGACAAGGCGTCGAATTTCAAGTACAGACAGTCGACAGTCAACCGTTTGGCGGTTTGGTCAAGCTAGAAAGTCTAAAGACAATGAAGCGATTTTTTCAAGTTTGTCTGTAATAATGGCGGAAAATTTTAGTTCAAAAAGTGTCTTTGGACTCCACTTTTCAGCTAGGGCTTGCAAAATTCATCCAGTGAAATGATCAGTAAGAAAGTGAGGTAGACATAAAAAATCGAATGATTTTCAACGTTCGAATCCTTTCTCTCTCATTGCAAATCGCGGTTATTTGGCTACATCAGCACCATCAGGAGGTCGCCTGATCTTGTCTGGGCTGGTTTCACCTGTTAATCTTCCGCGATTAATTGTCCACTTTCAAGCCGATCAAAAAATCGATCAATTTTTACGTTTAACATTCCTTTCAGTGTTAAATCCACCGATTCGCCGGTATATCAGCGCCTATCGCCTTACTTTATATAGTTAAATGAAAATGGGTGTTAAGTCAATTTTTAAACTTTTTTAGTTTTTAAGTTTTTACAGTGCAAAGCAACGACTCGAGTATATAAATATGTATAATTATTTCACAGTTTTATTGAAATCCCACTCAGTTCTGATTTTTGCACTCTCTGCAGGTATTAGTGTAAAAAGGAATGTTTCGTCCCAATTGCAGGCTCTAATTTAAAAGCTTCTAACTTCCAATCTAGAGCAAGTCTCATATTAAAATATCTACATTTAATAGGAGAAACTTGAGTATAAAAACTGTCGAAGTTTTATTCGAATCGCACTTAGTTGTGGTTTGTGCGTTCTGTGTAAATGCTGGTGAAAAAATGAATGTCCAAAAATTCTTATCGTCTGACCTAGTCCAGTTCGCCACCTGAAATTTTACCAATTTATAGAAGAAACTTGAAGCCTCAAATGGTTGAATTTTACTTGAATCCAGCTCAATTCTTATTTTGGTGCACTTTGTGAATATTGGGGTAAAAGCGACTGTGTCCGTCCAACCGCCGGCGCTACTTTCAGAAATTATAACATCATTTAGGACAAGCCTCTAACTGAAATTTGCACAATTGTCTTGAGTCTGCACAATTTCAAAGATGGATTCGTTTTAGGAAAAAATACAGAACGATCGAACATATAGACACCGTGAGAATACTAACAGAGAAAGTCACAGAATACAACATCCMACTGTGGACGGCATCTGTCGACTTCAGGAAGGCCTTCGACACGATCGAATTCTGGGCAATAATACAGTCACTAAGGAAAGTAAGAATCGACCAGCGATATATCAACATCCTGCAGGAAATCTGCTAACAATCAAAAATGAAAATAAAATTGCACAGCAAAACAAATGATATCAAAATCAAAAGAGGGAATGTAGGTCTGAACATAGCAGGAGAGAGACTAACGAACTTGGGGTACGCTGACAATATAGTTATATTTGCCCAGAGCGAAGCGGAATTGAGAGATATGATCCAAAAACTGAACCAAAAGACAAAGCAAATTAGGCTAGAAATGAACATTTYAAAAACAAAATKTATGACAAACAGAAATASCGACTCCAATGCGATCATAATCGAGGRACAGCACGTAGAAAAAGTTACTACCTGGGTCAAGGGCTTAAGGAAACACAACCAAGAACTTGAAATAAACAGAAGAATTCGAAAGAGTTGGGCGGCATACGGCGAACTAAAATACGTCTTGAGAACCAACATGCCTATAAAACTTAAAACAAATCTACGACGAATGTATGCTGCCAGTTACAACCTATGGCAGTGAAACTTGGGCCTTGASACAAAGGATTATGAATAARGTAAAAGTTCATCAGAGGAATATGAAAAGAAGAATAATTGGAATAACACTCAAAGACCGCAAAACCAACGAATGGATAAGAAGCGTATCGAACGTCCAGGACATAGCTGAAAAATATGCAACCTTAAGTGGAGCTGGGCAGGTCACGTTGCCAGAAATCCCACAAACTGGAGCGCCCAGATAACTAGGTGGCGGCCATCGGGAGAGAGAAGGAACACTGGCAGACCCTAACAAAGATGGTACGACCACATCAAGCGTACAGCCGGCATCAATTGGTACCAGGCGGCGCAAGATAGGGAGACTCGCTCAGTTCTTATTTTTGCTTATTTTGCTTTGAAAATTTTAGTGTAAATATGAATGTTTCCAATTGCAGGTTCTATTTGAAAAATTCGTAACTTCTAATCTAGAGCAAGCTTTACCTTGAAATATCTACAGTCTATAGACGAAACTTGAATATAAAAGCTGTCGAAGGTTTATTTCAATCACACTTTTATCACACCACAATCGTGGTTTTTGAGGTCTTTGTAAACGCTGCTGAACAAGTGAATGTTTTCATCCAACTGCAAGCTTTACTTTAAAAATTCTTATCGGCCTATGTGACGTAGTGCAAGTCGCAACCAGAAATTTTACCAGTTATAGAAGAAACCTGAGGCTTTAAATGGTTGGATTTTATTCGAATACCGCCTAATTCTTATTTTGCTGCACTTTGTAGCAGGTGTCAATCGCATCGGAATGGAAGGAGAGGGTATGCATAACATACCAGTACATAAAAAGGTGATAAGATGATATGCACAAACTACCGTGGCATCACTCTCCTCAATTGCGCCTATAGGCATCCTGTCAAACATATCACTGAGCCGAATAACACCATATGCTAATGAAATTATTGGTGACTACCAATGTGGATTCCGTAGCGGAAGATCAACAACGGACTAACTGTGCTCGATAAGACAGTTAGTTGAAAAGTGCTGGGAATTCAACCGAGATTTCCACAGTTTATTTGCGCATTTCAAACAGGAGTATGCCAGTGTAATCCGAACGCGCCTGTGGGAAGCCATGGAGGTTAACGTCAAGGAAATGTTCGAACAAATGGAGACGAAAGCTGAAAATATGGGTCTGACAGTAAACGAGGCGAAGACAAAGTATATGCACCTTTTTTTTTTTTTTCGGTGAAGTTTGGGAAATGCTATTTTGTTCTTTTATGCACTCCCAGAGCTGGTGGTCTGTCGCACTGGGTTGTGTGGGACTCCAGCTAAGCTGTTTACCCACTAAAACCCTTTCCTCATCGCCGAGGTGGTGTTTGGCATTGCACCGCGGTCATTTCTGTCCTATTGTGCCCTCGTAATTTTACTCCCTCATTATCCCTGTATATTCAATGAATTCCAGAAGGACCTTGAGGGGAGTTCGCATGATCTGGTCTGGTGGAATTTCATCCCCTCCCAGGAGTGTTCGTCTACCTGTTGCATATGACGTGCAGGGACACATAACATGCAGAGTAGTTTTGTCCTCTAATTTGCAACCCCTGCAGGTCGGTTGATCGCTCCGTCCCATCCTGAAGAGGTGTTGTGCAGGGGGCGACCTAGCAGTTCATTTTTACGTACTGGTTGTGGAGGTCCTTAACACGAAAGGATAATAGAGACCGCGTGAGACAAAATGTATCCATAAACGAATACAATAATATGAAGGAGGAGATTAAACACCGAATAACCCAGGAAAACAAATAGGTCACTAGGCCAGCAAAAATCAACATATTGTAACAAAAATGGCCTGGGGTACTCACGTTTGGAATGGGGGGATCGAAATTGATGGTATTTCAGTAAATGGGAGCCCCATTTAATGTCAAATATGACACTGACAAGCGGGAAGTTTCGCACCTGTTCTGGAGATTTCGAGAACTATCTGGGTTACCTGGAGGAAACTATATAAGCGACGAGGAGAACCAGACAGGGAGAGTGAAGTGACASGAGCGACCGGGTGCAGAAGAGATTGAACCCCGTGAGTCGGAAGAGCGAGTTTTCCGTCGGTTATTGTTATTGTTTGTGAAGTTGACGGTAATTTTTAAGTTAGTTTGTTCCTGTTATACCATTTAAAGTTATACCGAGGTGAATACAAGTTGGAAGCAGAAGAAAGAGTTTGATACTCGGCCATCCACGGTACAATATACAAAACACTAAGAAGACCTGTTATCAGGTATGGATGCGAGACATGGACAATGACGACTTTCGACACACAGCTGCTTAGAAGGTTTGAAAGGAAAATATTGTTATACACCAAACTAGCGAATATAGAATCCGGACCAACAACGAACTCTCTCAACTATATGACTCCCCAGACATAGTGTAACCGTAGGGTAGCAACAGCAAAAGGCTTATAAAGAACGTATGGGAGGAAATATATCCCCAACAGGAAAAAGACCTCTGGGAAGACCTAAGCTGAGATTTAGAGACAACCTCCGCAAATACTTGCAAATAATGGGAATTGATAACTGGGAAGCAGCTCAAGCAGCCAAGACCCAC